CGCAGAATGCCGTTCAACTCATAAGGTAAACAAATGCAATGCATAAGCTAATGCTTTCCATACCCCACCCCCCCAAAAAAAAGAAAAATTTAAAAAAATAATCCCCAAACCCAATTTAACCCCCCGCCCCCCCCCCCCCAAAAAAAAATAAAATAAAATTCATATCCCTAAAAGTTATTATTTTAATAAATATTTTTATAATTTTTATAGGTCATTTTATAATCAAAAAATTTATTATTTTTATGAATAATTTATTACATTTTTGAGTATTTTTATCATTGTAATAATAACTATTATTATTATTATTATTTGTACCAATAATAAAAACACTTATAAATATTAACACAATACTGTACCGAATTTTTTTTTTCCCGTGTCGTGGACAACTCCTGCTCATAATTATAACGTTATAATTTTTTTTTTTTTTATCAAAATAACATGTTAAAGTTAACTTATTTTTTTGATGGATAGATTATAAAGTTTTAATATTAAAGGTCAAATTATTACTCTAAAGCCATGTCTGATTCAAGTATTTAGAGGCTGGATTAGATTAATTTAGTTTAATAATAATTTAATATCAAGTTTAGATTAAGTTATATGATGTAGCATTGTTTTTAATCCTGATCAAATTCACTCCTGCCTTAGTATACTCTAGATATACACCCCCATACATGGATAGTTTTTATTATTTTTAATTTAATACCATATATTACTATCTAATTTAAATATAATTTTTGTATTATAACCACAAGAGTAATGTTATTTAGAATTACAAAACTAACTTAATTTATTAATTTAATGATGCGGTAGTATGGGAGAAGTCATGACCCCTCAAGTTTTTAAAATTACATATTATACCTCTAAAAAATTTTTGATTATATTTTTCATGCCTCTCAAAATTTGAAAACTATACTTTATACTCACGTTACAGTCGAGTAGTTACGTGATAAAAATAAGTTGAAATTATAGGTTGTTTGATAAATTGATAAATTTCTTTTTTTTTAATCTATTAATTCGATGAAGTTTTATCAATTTTATTAAAAATGAATTTATTACAATGTATGGTGTGAAATTAATTTTAATAAATTTTATATATCTTAAAATTTGACATTAATGATAACTTATTAGTAACTCCCTCATTTTTAATAAATTTTTATGTAATATTAGAAGTAATTATTATGAAGTTATTTTAATAAGTGAGTTAATGATAGAATATTTAAAAGAGTTCCTATCAATGAAATTGATATATTGAATGTGAGAAAAACTTTCTTGTGAAGTTTTGGATATTAAGTTCTTATCGAATTGAGTTATCAAAGGTTTTCACCCCTTTTCAAAACAGTTTTCTTTCCCAATTTTATTTTTTGTTTATTTTTTAAATTCCTCAAAGTGTGCTCATAACACGATTGTTCACAATAACCTAAGTCTTGATCTGCAACTCTCTCACAATACTTAAACAATTGACAGACACCCCAGTGACGCTTCTATCCCTCCAGGTATTTCCTATCTATTTTACTTAAAAATTAGACTTTTTAATTTTAATCATTGAATAGATAGTGGGTTCCAATAAATACTGGGACCCACAGTGAAATTAATGATTGACATTATCAAATCTAATTTTTAAGTCTACTTTTTAAGTGCACGTAGCATTGCTCATTTTCCTATCTGTCCCTTTTCTTCCCCCCACTCTCTTTTGTTGTTTCTCACAATCTCTTTCCACTTCTCTGTTCCACCAGTCCCCATCCAACATCTACAGCCTCTCGACCCCCTAGCTATCGCCACCCTCTTCCTCCAACCCCCCGGGGAACAATATCCACAAGCCCGTATCGGTACTTGGTGTCATAGGCACCCAAAAAAAAAAATCCACAAGCCCTCCACCCTCCAACCGCGACCAACATATGCCACATGCCCGAAGGCACACCCTATAGACTACTAGTCAATATATCTAATATTATAGTTAAAAAATTCAATTTTTAATTTATAAAAGTACAACAATGCTCAAAACTCATTCAATTTTTATTACAGGTGATACCATAAATTAGTCCGAGTTGCATAATACTAACCTAACATAGCCTTAGGTCGAACAACACCCGAATTACCTATCAGCTCATTCCCAGTTGAAGTCATCCAGAAGATAGTAATCATAGTTGTCAAATCGCGATTTGTATCGTGAATCAGAATCCTAAATTTAAGATTCGTGAGTCGTAAGATTCGACATAAAATTTGAACAAAAATAAAAAATAATACTACATATTTAAAATAGAAAAAATACTGAACATTATTGCATTTTAAAAATAATCAATTGACATAATCATGTCTTTTAAATGGGAAGACACTAGTTTTTTGTTTCATTTTCATTTTTAACTTAACTATTTTCAAATTCAACAATTTGAAAAAAAAAATTATTAAAGAACCATGGCTAATCAAGAACCAAATAATGACACAAAGTATAGACTAGGTTACAAATAAGAATGAAAAAATAACCAAAAAAAAAAATTGATTGAGAGAAAATATACGGGCCAACATTTTGAAACAAAAAATTAAAACCTAACAAATTACCCATAAAAGAATTGAAAGCAAAAATCAATCGATACAAGAGCGTTAGTCATGACCTTTAGTTTTAGACAACGCAAAACGAGTTTTAGACGACGTCAGAGAGAGAATGAGTAAAAAGATTAAGTTTTTATTAGGGCGTAAGATCTTCTACAAATAAAACAACGTTGTATTACTATTTAGCGAACAAAACGACGTTGTTTTGTTAAAAATTTGGGTTTTAAAAATAGTGATTAAATCGTGCAATTCATGCGATGCAAATCGAATCGTACGATTCAGGTGCGATTCAACTAAAAAACGATTTTTATATAAGATACGAATTGAATCACAAATCGTACGATTTTGATAATTATAACAGTAACAGTAAGCAGGGGGAGATTAAGGTCAACTTTTCCATGTCACCTAGGACAACAAGGCATCACTTCACGAATGCCACCTCATCAATTCTAGAAGGATACGTATTGAGCAGATATTATCGGCCGAATATTTTCCTAATGGTTTTAACAAATTTGGGGGGACCATCTAATCTAAGATAAGTTCAAAGAACTGAGCCTAATACAAATAAGAAGAGAATACCCTAAAAAAGGCAGATTGAATCTTGGTTATAACCATCTTTTTCTTCTCTAAGCAATACAAAAGCACAAGAGCAAAAGATTCAATCGACAATAGATTAACCTAGTTGTTCAGCTTGGCAAACCATATATACCTCGTACTGTTTTACTCTTTTTATGATTCTTAATCCTCGCATTTACGTTGATCCTATAGTCTTAAACTCAAATCCTCTCGTCCCCTGTTTTTTAACACAATCAATTCTAATTTTTTTTGACTCAAAAATATCATTTTTTTTGCACGACCTTTAATATCAGATAACCCCACTAATTCATACCTAATCCTCTTAAAATAAAAAATAAAAAATAAAATTTTTATTTAAAATACAAATATTATACAAAACTATTCCATTGCTTCCACGGACATAAAGAGTCAAACTATTATAAGATTGACCAATTAATTGGTAGTTCCGATTAAATTTGTAAAGACAAAATCAACCAGCTTAGCATATAATATGCTTAAAGTGACATATTATGAAGTTTTTATAGAATACTTGGTCCCACTAGCCCATGCATTGGTTGGGCCATTTATTCTAGAACTCAAACAGCCCATATCTTGTTCATCTAACCAGTACTAATTGGTCTATTTTCTTTTCTTTTTTTTTTTTGTTTAAAAAAAAGTTAATTCTTTTTCAAATACAGGCATTTTGCCCAAATTTATACTGACTTAAGTTTTGACATTATACCCAAAAAGTAATTCCTATCAAATTTGAATCAATAAGCTTGACTATTAAACCAAAAATTGTAACATTACACCAACAAATAATTCAAGCAATCTCATTCAACAAAACTCATCAAACTAACCCTTGGTAACCACATACATAATTCCCACATGGGTGGCTAAAATGAATCATTGGCCCACAAGTTTGGGAAATTCCAAATTCATCTTCATGCACTCCAAAAAAAATTTGAACTCCTCAATGACTGTCACATCTGCACCATTCTTCACCAGAGGAGGAAAAAACAACCAAAAACTGGTGGACACTACAAACCCAAGACTCAATGGCCCAGAAACAAACCTAGGCAATCTCAACCTGTCAATTCAAACCAAACTCTGCAATAACACATACCCCTTGCAGGACGAAAAACGACGTCGTTTCCCAAGATGGACTCCCACGCGTGACATAGAAGAATAAAAGCTCGTGCATGAGACCAGACACGACAAAAGACGCCAACACCGCCGGCAGTGGGGCCCTGTTGTCGCCCAAGAAAATCGCTGAGAATGATCGCACGGGGCTTGTATACGGTGTGTCTCAGTGTATTCGTTACAATGAGGTTCCACCTCCTACCCCAGAAATCTTGGAGTGATGTAGAAAGATAAGGTTCATCGGACGGTGCCTCGAGCTCAAGCCCCACCAGGGCTCGAACCACAGCACTAGAAACCCCAATTAAAAGGTCTACCAGGAGAAATACCAAGCAACAATACACCACCATCATAATTTTTTGGTGAGTTCTTTCTTTGTAAGATACACCAATCAATATGGCAAAAGCCAAACTCTCTGTTGCTAAATTTAGAGGCAATTTTTTGGTGGGTTTGAGAGGAATTCGGAGGCGATTTTTGGGTGCTTTGGGAAGATGGGCAGTTCCTGTTTTGCTTGATCTTGAAGGGGAGAGCAGCTACGATGATGAAGATGGGGAGGGACTTTGGTGGGTCCCATGAAAGTGGGCCAAGATCAAAGGCAAACAGGAGGAGCTTGAAGTTGGCAAGCCAGGTTATGAAGAAAGCTGTGATGGCTTTGTTTAAGGCTGAGGTGAGGTAGAGAGGGAAGATGGTGAAGAGGAAGACTATGGGGAGGAGAGAGAAAAGTCTGTACTTACCTTTTGGGATCTTAGCAGATATGAAATAGCTGTAAGAAAGGCAAACTATAATTGATAGCCACACATTGACTAAGTTCTTTGGCTCACCCTCCATTGAACCAGTTTCTCTGAGCTTCATTGTTTTTGTTCTTTGCTTCTGCAATTTCGATGAGATGTGATGGCGTACGTGTGTGTGAGGCAGCATTGGGCTGCTTGGTGGTTTCTCTGTCAGCTTGAAAATGGAAGATGATCGAGTAATGAAAAAACACAATAACGGTAAAGATCACCTTAATGGTTTTGGAAACTAAACCAGATTATTTTTTCAGTCTACATTTGTTTTTTTGTCAGAGTCTCTGTCTACCTGCGATCGCACGTTTTGCCGTTGCTTGCATTGATTGAATTGTCTAGTTTAATGAAGTGCAAAGACAAATTCAATTAGCTTTGCATTAATATGCTTAAGTTACAAATTATGAGATGGAGTAATTGGTCCCACCGTCCCTACTGAATCGGAACTTGCCCACTGAATAAGCACTAATAGGTTTGTTTTTTCAAATTTAGAATTGTTTTAATTTATTATGAATTCTGTCAAACTAATAGGTTAAGTTGTGGGGTTAGAGGTTCTTTGATAACACTAATTAATTTTTAAAATTAATTATTTTAAATACTTAATGAATTAAACATGTTCCGTAAATTAAATCATACTTCTCACTATAAGAAACTTTGGAAAGTGAAAAAAAAGGACAAAATATTTGATTGCCGGCGTTCTCCCGGCGATTGTCTCAAAAGTCGGGTAAAACGGTGTCGAGAAAGCTACCGGCGTTTGATAAACGCCGACTCTATTACTGGAGGCCGGTGACCGGAAAACGAAATACCGGCGTTTAAGTTTAATTAAACGGCGGTGAAGAGGTGCAGTCAGCCATAACTTTGTTTTGGTGGGGGCTCTTCAATCGACGACAAATACACAAGCCTCCCCACAGTACATACCTTCAATGACTTGTCTATGGCAATTCAACAAACACGAAAACAAGCACTTGTTTTTGCTTAGGTACCTTCATTATGTTCAATTGAGAAGTCATGCATACAGAACAATTTCAACCCCAAAAAATACAAAAATCACTGTAACAGTTTTTTGTCTAGATTGTTGGTCAATTTGGCTAATTTCATGAAATTAACGATCATATATACTCACTGTGACAAAACGTCAAACATTTGAATGATGTTACTGCAAACATTCAATGTTGGAGTTTGAGACTGAGAAATGTGGTTGGCAATCCTGGTCACATTTGGCGATATAAACCTAACTTTTGGCATTATACGCAAAAATAATTCTTATCAAATTTGAATCAACAAACTCAAGATTATTAGTAATTGGAGAATTGTAACATTACGCCAGCAAATGATCCAAAGAATCTTATTAAACAAAATTCATAAAACTCACTCAAGTGAAACACATGTATCCCCATATGAATCATTGGCCTACAAGTTTGGGAAATTCCAAATTCATCTTCATGTACTCCACAAAAAATTTGAACTCCTCAATGACTTTCACATCTGCACCATTCTTCACCAGAGGAGGAAAAAATAACCAAAAACTGGTGGAAACCACAAACCCAAGAGTCAATGGCCCAGAAACAAACCAAGGCAATCTCAACCTCTCATTCAAACCCTTCTTCAAACCAAACTCTGCAATAACACATATGCCTTGCAGGACAAAAAACGACGTCGTTTCCCAAGATGGGCTCGCACGCGTGACGTAGTAGAATAAAAGTTCGTGCATGAGGCCAGATACGAGAAAAGATGCCAAAACCGCCGGCAGTGGGGCCCAGTTGTCGCCAAAGAAAATCGCCGAGAGTGACCTCACGGGCTTGTATACGGTGTGTCTCAGTGTATTCGTTACAATGAGGTTCCACCTCCTACCCCAGAAATCTTGGAGTGATGTAGAAAGATAAGGCTCATCGGACGGTGCCTCTAGCTCTAGTCCCACCAGGGATCGAACCAGAGCACTAGAAACCGCAATCAAAAGGTCTACCAAGAGAAAGACCAAGCAACAATATACCACAAATATAAGTTTTTCGTGTATTCTTTCTTTGTAATTGTGTAATACACCAATGAATATTGTAAAAGCCAAACTCTCTGTCGCTAAATTTAGAGGCAACTTTGTGGGTTTTTTTGTGGGTTCGGCAGATTTCTCTGAATTTAGAGGTGATTTTTGGGTGGTTTGGGAAGATGTGTAGTTCCTCTTTTGCTTGATCTTGATGGGCAGAGCAGCTATGGTGATGAAGATGGGGAGGGACTTTGGTGGGTCCCATGAAAGTGGGCCAAGATCAAAGGCAAACAGGAGGAGCTTGAAGTTGGCAAGCCAGGTTATGAAGAAAGCTGTGACGGCTGTGTTGAAGGCTGAGGTGAGGTAGAGAGGGAAGATGGTGAAGAGGTAGAAGATAGGGAGGAGAGAGAAAAGTCTGCACTTACCTTTTGGGATCTTAGCAGATATGAAATAGCAGTAAGAAAGGCAAGCTATGATTGATAGCCACACAGTGACTAAGTTCTTGAGCTCACCTTCCATTGAACCAGTTTCTCTGATCTTCCTTGTTTCTGTTCTTTGCTTCTGCAACCTCTCTGAGATTTAATGGCGTACGTGTGTGTGATGCAGCCTTGGGCTGCTTAGTGGATTCTCTGTCAGCTTGACAATGGAAGATGATTGAATAATGAAAAAGCAAGGTTTTATAGCACTTTTGGTGGGTACGTATCTTTTGTCTGACTATTTTTTAATGTATTAATTTAGTTTTTAAAGTATTTAATGTGTATTATTTTAATTCTCACGTAAACCGATAATTTTATTGATAAAAGTGATTATTTTTTATTTTATAGCACTTTTGGTGGGTACGTATCTTTTGTCTGACTATTTTTTAATGTATTAATTTAGTTTTTAAAGTATTTAATTTGTATTATTTTAATTCTCACGTAAACCGATAATTTTATTGATAAAAGTGATTATTTTTTTATTTTTTAAATGATATCACGTATTTAACACATGATTATTTTATCAAAAATNAAGCAAGGTTTTATAGCACTTTTGGTGGGTACGTATCTTTTGTCTGACTATTTTTTATTGTATTAATTTAGTTTTTAAAGTATTTAATTTGTATTATTTTAATTCTCACGTAAACCGATAATTTTATTGATAAAGTGATTATTTTTTATTTTTTAAATGATATCACATATTTAGCACATGATTATTTTATAAAAAATTTAATAATTCATTTATGTGAGAATTAAAATAACACGAATTGAATATACTTCAAACATTAAATTGATAAAATTAATATATTAAAAACTAAATTAATAAAAAATACATATTTTAAAAACTAAAAATATTATTAATCCAAAAAAACAATAACGGTAAAGACCATCTAATGGTTTTGGAAACTAAAGCAGTTTTTTTTTTTTTTCTCTTTTTCTGTCTACATTTGTTTATTGGTCAGAGTTTCTGTCCACATGTGATAGCACGTTTTGTTTGACAGAGCTGTTATAATTCATTTGGGTGGAAATGTATGACTTAAGCACCGAAAAAACAAAATAAATAATGAGTAATATTATTTAAACCTAAAAATTTGATTTAATTTGTTGACATAATGATATGGTTTCAATAGAACTATTGGATCAACACTAAATTTTAATGTTTGATGGATTTCACATTTAATTCAAAGATCATAGTGAATTAAGTTAATAGTATTGCTCATAAATAAATGTATGACTTTATAAAGGGCCAAAAATAAGAGAAATGATGGGCCCACTAATATTTTTATTGAATTTTAAACTTTAAATAATGTGGCAATTTTATAATTTCCGAAAACTCGGCACCCAACTACCAAAAACCCACCGACCAACACTCTCGAAAAACCACCACTTAAATCACCAAAAACTCAGNCCACTAATATTTTTATTGAATTTTAAACTTTAAATAATGTGGCAATTTTATAATTTCCGAAAACTCGGCACCCAACTACCAAAAACCCACCAACCAACACTCTCGAAAAACCACCACTTAAATCACCAAAAACTCAGCACCAATAATACCCTTTGAATAACCACCCCTCTAACCACAAAAAACTCACCGCCCAACCTCCAAATATCTACAACAACAAAAAAAGAAGCACAGAGAGAGAGAGAGAGAGGTGCAGAGACGGGAAAAAAAAGGAAGTGAATGGGGGGTTTAAGGACGATCGAAGTTGGAATTTCATTAATCCCAAGGTGAAACCCGCGTGTTGTTATTTTTTGAGTGATTATGAAAACAATTTTTTGTGTTTCCATTTTTTGGTCACTAAAAAAAAAAAACACATCGCAACCATATATTTTTTTGGCAGAAATGGAAAACACAAATAGAAAAAAATAAAAACAACAAATTACCAAACGCAACCTACGGTACCAAAAAAAATTTCTGATATCATACCACTATTTATTATTTTTTTGGAGATTTTTATCATTTTTTTTTTGTATCTGTTTTTATTATTTTTGTGGTACTCGAGATCGATTTTAATATACTTAAAAGTGATAAAAACACGTACAAAAATAGTAAATTATCCACAAAAATTATAAATTTTTATTGTAAAATGACTAAAAAAATTATAAAAAAATAAAAATACCTATAAAAATTGTAAAATTTGAGGATATAGTAGCATTTTTTTTGGTTACCATAGTCAAGTCCATAATAAAATGCCAAGAGTACCCTAAACTCACAGGGGCTGTGTTGATAAGGGGGTATGGGGGGGGGGGGGGGGCTTGGAAAGATGAGTTTAGGAAAAAATAGTCCAAAACTTCCTAAAATTTCATTCTTGTATGAAAAATTCAATCCCGAGTTTTCAAGTTAGGCCTAAAAATTAAACCTATGATCATGAGTTTCGTCAAACCTAAGAGGTGGGTGGGTTTGGGAAGATGTGTATCAGATTAAAGATTCAAAAGACAATTGTATCACTACACATTAGTATGAATTAGATTGATCAAGGATAAAATAGTCATTTATTGGACAAATAATTGTTAATAATTATGATATATCTGTGAGTCTTATATATGTATATATTGCATATCAAACATGGGTATGGACCGAATTGAATACTTAATTTTGAGTTTAAAAAAATTTGAAATAATCAATCCAAACTCCTTCCAAAATTTATCCGAATAAGCCCAGAGACTCCATGGATCAGCAAAAAACCAGCCACTTGTGGGCTAGTCTGGTTGGTTGATTGGATCATGATTCACGAGTCATTTGACCCGTTTCACCATCAGCTAAGGCAATGGGTCTTCTTGGTTCATTTATGACTTGTAAAGGCAGATAGTGGATTGATCCATTAATTCGAGACCAATCAAGCCATGGGCCATTCCGACCCGTCTCATGTCAGGCCATGGACAGATCTTTTTAGGAAAATTTGAAGACCAATCCCTCTTATATAGACTTATTTAGAGATAAATCTGATAAGAAATTTATTTGATTTTAAGTCTGTTTTTTATCAAATTGACTATTATACCCCTACCCTGTAGAATAACAACAAACGACATCTGATAGTTATAGAAAGTTACATAGATTAGATCATTAAAGTATATATGAAAATTATTGATTTAATTATATATAAAAACTGTTGATTGAATTATATATGAAAACCATTTATGAAATATTATGATAATTAACAAAAGTTTTATACGGAAATGTATATATTCTTATAATTATTTATAGAAGCTTGATGTACGAATAAATTGTTAGTATATTAAGTGAAATTCAAATCACAAGATTTCTTTATAAATTCAAATTCAATAGTAATATGATACAAACATATAGTAACATGATACAAGCATAGGGTAATACTATAGTATGGTATTATGTTATCAATATCCTAATCAGCATATAGTAACATGATACAAAATCACCAAGTGTAATAGATATATAATAATATCAAGAATTATGTGCAAAAGTAACATGAACAATGTCATCCAATTAACTGATGTAAACATAGTAACATATTAAAAAAAAAACTTTGGAATATAAAACTTGGAATCTATCTAGCTGGAGGGAGTTAGTGGTGACAACTTGGAATCTATTACCAATGTACAGTCATTTTTCAACAAATTTATTAATCTACGGTATTTTTAAACTTATTTATCAAAAATAAGGTATTTTTTTAAAACAGAGTCAATAATTTCGCTTGAAATGCGTACTCAACAATCCCGCTTTTGATAAAAAACAGGGTCGAGGATTCCGCTATTAAGCGTAGTTAGGAAACATGCTTTTAACGTGTGTGTGTGTGTGAAGAAAACTTCCATCTCCCAGAGTAAACAGCAGGTTGTTTTGATCACAAGGCTGAGAGACAAAACCTGAGGAGGCCATAGACTCAAATTCAAGCCTCTTCATATCATCTGTCTTAGCTGTGCCCTCACGAGTATCATAAGTCCCCAACCAAATCCTCCTCCTTTGAAATGGGTCGCGAATCTCTGCCGCCCATTTGGACATCAATGAAGAGGGTCGTTGCCGTTTTGAACTTGGGTTTGGGTTTTTACTCAAAACCGTTGTCTCGTTCAGGGGTTTTTCGCCGTTGGTGCTATCTTGGCATGAACTCTCCATTTCTAGACTCTTAGATGGTTAATTATCTGAATTTTTCTCATGGTTTTGGTGGCTTGAACAGAGTTTGCTTTGCTCTTTGATTTTTTGCAGAGGTTACTTTGATTCAACCCATTTGAGTAGGATTACTGCAAAAACCCCAAAAAACATAATTTGGGGTTTACTTTGATTTTTTGCAGGATTCAATGTGGACAAGAAATACCTTGTTTCAATATTGGCTTCGCTTGTGTATTCGAAGAAATTTCGTAATGGTGGCTTTTGGTGCTTGACATCACTTGCAGAAACTTGTTGAGATAGAAGTTTAAAAAAAACTGTGAAAAGGCGTGTTTAGAAAAAAAAAAAAAAAGAGTAAAAAGTGTGTTTACAAAACACGCTTTATCAATTTTTATTCCCCAAAGTCGGGTCGTTGAATTCGTTTTTTAACAAAAATGGAGTTACTGAATCCGCTTTTAAAAGTGTCGTAATTTGATAAATAAGTTTAAAAATACTGTAAATTGGCAAATCTGTTCAAAAATAACTATACATTAATAATAAATTCTGACAACCTGTAACCACATAAAATGGACTATCTTTTCATGGTTGAGACTTGGTACAATTATAATGTCATTTACCACCCAATCAAACTATTATACATAGTGAGTCATTTTGTGATATTGCTTTAATTTATTTTATTTTTTTGACTACAAATTAGTTAAATGTGAAGATTATTTTTTAATATGTAGAAAGAAAAATTAATTTGGGTAAATTATATTTTATACCCTAAAAGATTTAAAAATTCTCAATTAATACCTTCAATAATTTTTTTTTTTATATTATACCCTTAGGTGGTGTTTGGTTTGAGGGATAAACAGGGATAAGACTAATTGGATTGGATAAACATATCCGGAGACCCACATATCCTTGTTTTGGATAAAAAAAACGGGGAGGATAAACGTTGACTTTCAATTCATCGGCCGTAGGAAACTCAACCATTTATCCCTCCCAAAGAGGATATCAGTAACCCATGTGTTGTGTGGGACAAAGTTTCTCACCAAACAGATAATATATCAATTTACTATATTGCCCCCATAACGGTGGATGCTGAGGTTAAAGCGCTTTCTGTCTCTCTCTCTCTTGCCATGGCAGGATCTGTGTGTTTGATTTTCTTCATTGTTGGAACTTCCCAGCCATCAGTCATCCAAGCAAATCCATGCCCACCTCCTCAAATTTCACCTAGTCAAAAACCCAATTGTCATTGGCCCAGTTCTCAATTTTGGGGCTACTACCTCCAAGAATCCCTTGTTCCTCTCTTACCCTCGCTGTGTTTCAAAGCCTCCAGTACAAAAATCTTCATGTACAATACAATGACCAAAGGATATATCAAAGAAAATAACGACTGAAGCATTTGGAGAAGCCGAAAATATGAAAGAATTCTCTCTCTCTCAGTCTCACTCTTTCTGTCTGAAGCATCTGGAGAAGCCGAAACATATGGAAGATGAGCAATTTAATCAAATTAAAATCCAGTTTATCCTCTAGTGGTTCGGTTTGTTTGCATCTTACCCCCCCTATGTTCAGAAATTAACACATAATTCTCTTATATTTTTGAACTTAATTGCTATCGTTAGAAATTCTCTCTCAATTGAGATGATGTAGCATGCAAGCACATGATTTGAAAGCAAGTGTGTGAAAATTTTTGGTCTAAGTTAACTTTGAACGAAAGGGTTTGAGTCTTATTAAAAAATCACAATTGTTCTTTGATGTTGGGTTTCATTACATTTTAAATTTTTAAGATGCTAAAAATTTTATGCTCATCCATTTATTTCATTATATATGAACTCTAAAAAATTAAGATTTTAAGTAAACCAACATATTTTAAATTGACTTGATTTGTGTTATTAATTCAGGCAATAATATTAAAATACCCTAAAATTCATCGAAAATAAATTGCATTTGGGTCATTGAAAAAATTTAATATGGTTTGGATTAATTTTACTATTTATTGAAAAAAAATAATTAAGTTTTATTTTTAAACATACAATTTCAAATTTTATAGAAAGAAACAAATAATGACATAGGCATGAGTTGTATCAATTTATATATTGTTTTTCTATTGAAAATTATTATTTTATTTTTGCATGATTTTTTTGATTAAAAGTGTATTGTACAAATTAAATTAAATAAATGAACAAAATATTTATTGCAATATTTTTGTAAAAATGTGTTATTTATTGATTCATATTTTTGTTTCCTAAATAAGACAATATTAATGAATTGAACTTTTTTTCATTTCATTTCAAACATGGTATAGGATTGGATAACCTTTTTTTACACAAGGGTGCAATAGTTATTTTAATATGTTTTATCTTCACATATGAATGAGACCTACAAACCAAATGAAATATATCCAAAGATGGGATAGGGTTTAAATCCGATCTATATAATCCTTTAATATGGACCACTTTACACTGGATTGGATTGAGTTTGGATTCAAATCCAAACCAATCCAATCCTTTCACGGTGATCCAAACACCACCTTAACGTATTAAAAGTGTTACAATATTGTCTTTCTATTAATTTTTATTATTCATTCTGCTAACGTCAATAGAGTGATTTTTTATGGAATAAGTAATGAAAATTAGCAAAAGAGTCACATTACAATATTTTTAATATATTAAGAGTATAAAATAAAAACTTGAAATTTTTTAATATAATTGGATAAAATTGAATATTAATCAAGCAAAATTAAAGGTCAATTTGATCAATTTGATGTTAATTTAAAACAGATTATAAATTATTTTTTTATTAATTTGAGTAAGGGTAATTTAGTAAAATTATATATCTTATTAGGAAACAAAAATTGATAAGGTATGCAGTGATATTTTAAAAATTAGAGGGAGTGTCACTGAAATATGACTTAAATTCATACAAAAAAAGTGATAAAAAATAATTATCACAACAATGATAAAAATACATACAAAAAGTTGATAAAAATAACAGTAATACCATATAGATTTAAAAAATAGACTTAATAATCATAACTATTGAATAGATAAAAAATTACAATAAATACTGAAATTCATAATGAAATCAATATTTATAATTATCAAGTCTACTTTTTAAATTGATGCAACATTTTTCTAAAAATAACCATTAAAATAATAAATTTTAAAAGAACGATACCAAATTTTTTTTTTGGGTACTGTTGTCAAGGTTGTTTGTAAAAGTACTAAAAATAGGGGTGTTCACCCTACCCTACGGGTAAAAATTATGGTATTTCATCTTTCAACACTGATACTTTGTGGAAAAAATTTTTCTTGACCTACTCAATTCGATTAAGCATTCTATTCTTATCTAAATTCTGTTCAAAACATTTTTTTCTAAAACACATTTTTTTAATTATTAATTTTTAGATCATTTTAATAATTTAATTAAGAAACATATACTAATTAACTAACACAATAAATCAATAACACTAAAAAAAAATACGATAAATTCGATAATATATACACAATTACAATAAAACACAACAACAAGACCATAAACATTATTACATCTAGATTTTTTAATTTTAATTTTTAGAGATTAGTATATATATATAAATTTTGTAGGTATTCTACATTTTTACCCGATTTTTTTACAAAATATCAAAAAATCTTTCATTGACCAACTCGATTCTTTCAGGTGGCTGGTCAACAGAATTGGGTAAGACAAAGTAACATTGGAATTTCCGCGCAATCAAAAATTTAAAAGGAAAATTTGAAGGCCGGTCTCCCTATATGAATTTGTTTGGACTTAAGTCCGTTAAGAAAACTTATTTGTTATGAAGTCTATTTTTTGTCAATTTTACCATACTATCATTTCCCTTTAAAAGTGGAATAAAACTAAAAATTAAAAACTCTTAAATTGTAAGAATTTGACTAACATTAAAATTTTTTCTCTCTCATATCTATCTATATCCATATATAGGTTAAGAGTTTAATTAATATTAAAATTTCTCATCTCTCTTATCTATCTATATATAGGTTATATATATATAGTAACATTAAAAATAAAAAATAGAAACATTTAAATACAAAAAAAAATATCATTTGAACACAAAAAATAATACATTTAAATACAAAAAAATTGTAACATTTAAATATAAAAAAATTAAAACATTAAATATTAATATTTTTAAAAAATAACAACAGTAACATATTCAACAAAAATATTAACATATTCAACAAAAATAATAACATGTTTAACAAAAATTGTAACATACTTAACAACAAATATTTCTCTCAAATTCAAATGCAAAAAAATAGTACCATTCAATACAAAAAATAGTAATATTCAAAAAAAAAAATAGTAACATTGAATATTAATATTTAAGAAAATAATAATAGTAATATGGTTAACAAAAACAGTAACAAGCTAAAAACTAATAGTGAATAAACGTTAACATACTCAACAAAAATAGTAACATAAACAGTAATATAATAAAAAAAATAGTAACATGAATTTGAATTTTACTATATAAATTCATAATAACTTTTTTTTGTATTTGAATATTATTTTTTTTTTAATGTTAATATATATATATATATATATATATATATAAAAGAGAAAAAATCTTAATATTAGTCAAACTCTTAACCTATATATGAATATAAATAAATATGAGAGAAAAAAAATTAATTTTATTTCAAGAAAGGGTATTTTTGAGATAAAAAAAAATTTAAATTATTATATATAATTTTAAACATAAAGTTAACCCTTTATCAGTTTTTTTGCAAGACACGTAACAAGTCTCGCTTTTAATTTTCACAATTTAAAAATCCCAAACTAAAAATAAGCAGTCTCTTGAGGCTAAAGCTACTAAAAATTAAATGACAGTTTTTCCCTCACAAAACTCACCAATTCTTCGTACTCCCTGATAACCTTCAGGTCGACGCCATTCCTGATAATCTGTGGGAAGAACAGCCAAGCACCGGTCACCGCCACGAACGCCAACGTGAGTGGCCCTGAAACCGCCCTGTGCAACCGAAACCTCCCGTTCACCGCCGTCTTGGCAGCAACTTCCACGCCGGTACAAACCCCATGGAGCACAAAGAACCACGTCACCTCCCACGTGGGACTCACACGTGTCAGATAGAAGTAAATAATCTCGTGCATCAGACCGGACACCAAGAATGAGGCAAGATATGCGACTTGTAGGCCCCACAATTTTCCGACCACACGCGTTGAAATACGGCGGACACGATAGAATACGGTAGGGCGTAGAATACTGGTAACCATGAGGTTCCACCTACGGCCCCAAAAGTCTTGAAGAGAGGTGGCTAGGTATGGCTCGTTGAACTGTGGTTCGATCTCAAACCCTAGAATGGCTCGAAGCGGGGCCGCAGTGATGGCTAGGACTAGCTCAACGGCAAGATAAAGATGGCAACAGTAGAGGGCCAAGATCACATATGGATGCAAATCTTGCCTATAATCGTATACCCGAATAATCACAGCCAAAAGCACCACCTTTAGAACAAATAGAGCTTTTCTCCCTAAACTTTTGTCAAATTTGGAATCTGGGTCCGGACTGGAGTTTGAATTTGCAGATGGGTTCTTATTGCTTTTGGCCGTTGCAGGTGACTGGAGAGATGGGTCTGAACTTCTTTTGGCATTCTGAGGTGATTTGAGAGATGGGTCTGAACTGGTTTTGGCATTTTGAGATGATTTGAGAGATGGATCTGTGTTCTTTTGGGCATTGGGATGTGATTTGGGAGATGGGTCTTGTTTGGTTTTGATGGGGAAGAGAGCAACGGAAATGAAATGGAGTAGAGATAATGGTGGTTGTGGTGACAAAGGGCCTTGACCGAAAGAGAAGAGGATGAGCTTGAAATTACCAAGCCAAACAAGGTAGAAGATTGTGGGGCCACAAAGATTGAAGGAGGAGATGTTGAGAGGAAGGATGCAGAAGAGGTAGATTATGGGGAGGAGAGAGAGAAGCCTGATAATGCCTCTTGGGATGAGAGACACAACATAGTAACAATAGACTAGAGATGTGATTGCTGTGATCCATACCTTGATGAAATTGAAGAGCTCACTGTCCATAGTATTAGGATCTACTTTTTTGGGCTAGTCAACGGTTGCTATTCTCTGAGCCACTGGCCGTTTGATTTTCCAGCAGACGCCAAAAGAGATGGGCTTTGTTTGGGAGGGGAGGTGAGCCATTAACAACAACTTTGGAAGGGTGGCGTCACATACTGTTTGAAAAAAATATAAAAGGGGTGTGTCTCATGCAGTGGTAAAGTCTTCCTCTTACGGGTGTGGTTATTCGCAATGGAGGTGGGGCGTTTGCTGGAATGTTTAAAACCGTACCTAATGGGTAAAACAAATGATAAAAAATTTAATCTGGTATAGAATTCAGATTTACGGGAAGAGATTTTTTTTTTTAAAATGAGAATATATTTAAATTTAAAAAAAAAAGATAAATATGACCATTAAATCTGTAAAAGAAAATATAACTTCACTATTAATAAAAAATATAAGAATTTAAATCTCTCTTAATTTGAGTTTAAAAACAAGTTTCTCTTTATTCAGTATGGGAATAAGTCTAGTATTAGAGAAGTTTTTAATAATTTTTTACCATTTTTAAAAAAGTCTACAAAAAAGGGTAAAGACTGGAAATCCTATAAAACATTACATGAACTCTTTTTTATGTTAATTGAGCCACTGAACTCTCTAATTGTATCAATTGAACTTTTATGTCTACATTTGTTAAATTTTTTAATAGAAAGTGATAAAATATGTCACTCACATGACACAAATGATTGGAATAAACTACGTACATGACTCTCAAACTATAATCTTTATGTCAATTAAACCCTTTTAACTTTTTTGTATATCAATTGTGCTCATAAACTATATAATTATATCAACTGAGCCCTTTTGTGTTTTTGTGTCATAGTCAAATGAGTGACACGCTCTAACGAAGACAGATAAAAAGACTCAATTAACACAATTAGAAAATGCATATATTCAATTAACACAATTAAAAAGTTCAGGGGTTCAATTGACATAAAAAAAAATTCAAGGACTCAATTCACACAAGAATCATAATTTGAAAATCACCATGTATAGTTTAACTTAACAAATTAGGTCCAAAAAATAGTGTTTCTGAAATTCTTGTTCATCACCACATTAATAAAAAAGGAAAGAGTAAACCAAAAAAAACATTCAACTGCCAAATCATATAGCAATATCACAAATTTACAACTTTACCAATAACATATCAAGTACAAGAAGTTGGATTGCATTACCTGTGAGTGAGGTTTTATCGACTTGCATGCTGACGATCGCTTTCCCTCGAGTTATGTGACTCGAGTAACAGGACACATATACAAGCAGCAACACATCATTACCAACTTTTTACCGTCCTATGCAATGCTGGCTGACAACTAACGCATGCCTACGAAGCATGCAGAATACTCTATTCGTTAAGCCACCCTGAGGAATTGTGTCCCGAAAACGGGCAATAAGGACCGGGTGCAAAGGTTAGTGAGTCAACTTCAGATATTGGCCAGGGACGTAGAGAGTCGTGCATGCCACTTCTGCTCAACAAAGAAGGCTCAGATCCCAAATTATTTACCCTTGCATGGTTTAACTCGTCCAATCGAGGTACATTCTGCTGCATTGTGGATGTATGCATCCTACTGTAAGCTGAGCCTGCGGCTGAACCTGCTAAATAGCTGTTCTTTTGGCTAGAAGAATCAGGCTCATGTAATCTTGTGTCTAATTCCCTTTCGTACTTGTCTTCCATCTTGCTAAAGTGTGGTCTGTAACCACAGCTATCTGTGCTCCCTCTCTGGTAATCTTCAACCTGTTCCTCTATGTTCCCAACCCCATAATCAGGGTCGGGATTAACACCATGTGACCCTCTTTGGGTTAAAGTTGAATAAGGCTTCTCACTTCTAAAGCTGTGCCTCCTTTCCAAGTCGTGGCCTGTCTGGAACTGCGAATGTGATCTAGAATTGCTGACACGCTTGAAATGCCCATAATTTTTCCTCCCTGCGTCTATAGGTGAGGGCATATCAAGAAATGTAGATGACTCATTATTCAATGATCTGTCACCAGCTATACTGGGTGGGGAATGGCAAGACAGAGAACTTCGGCTATTCTGATTGCTCTCTGACATCTCAACTGATTCCCTTCCTCGATTTCCTTCACTACGACCCATCTTCTTTCCATTCCTAGTAGACAAATTCTTCCCATGACCAAGGCTCTCGTGTCTTTTTGTGCCACCATTGTCACGCATGGAGCCTTCCTTTTGACTTCCAGTCAAACTGATTCCACTTCCTTGGAGTTGTGATGGTCGATGATCATCCACCCGCCCAGGAGTTCCACTATTAAGATCATGATCCTCCACTGGGAAGTCAGATACACGTGTTTCATAACCATTTTCCTCCAGAGATGGCTTCTCCCGTAACCTGGATAAATGGATAAATGGCCCTGCTGTTGGGCAATTGCCTTATGTTTGGAAGTCCAATCTGGGCGACTCCAAAGAAAGGGAGGCAGTCCATTCACGTTCCAATCCTCCAATTGTTTGTCATTTACATCAACAGATCCAGGCAAATAAAAAGACTACAAAAAAATAAAAATAAACCAAGATGATCCAGCAAACAAACTTGCATCCTCATGTGTGTAAATGTGCGCTCATATATATCTCTATGTATTGTAATAGCCATAAGGGATCCACACAGAACACTTCTATTTTACCTTTCCGACAAGCAGCTCATCATCTTCCCACACCAAATCCTATGGAGGTTCCTTCTTATCTAATCTGGCTGAACACAAACCAATGCATGTGTTTCAGTGAGATAAGAGAGCAACGAAGAAGATGAGGGGGCGGGGGGAGACTACAGAAGCAACTACCTTTCTGTCTCGCGGGGAACTGTAAGGACAAGAAGCTTTGGCTTAAACTCAAGCGCTTTGTTAATCAACTTGTTTGCAAGGCGGGCATTTACTCCAAAAGGAGGGTTCAACCCCATGATCTACTCAAGAAACAGAAAGCCATGGTAAGGAATTGTGAATAAATCCGGGAGTACAAATATCCTCTGTACTAAATGAAATATAAACAGTCTCTCACCAGTTGTGACCCTGTCGGCAACTCCTTTGGATGGACGCTCATCCAGTCCCTCTTCTCAAAGTTGAAATCATGCTGCAAAAGGGATCCAAAAGTAGCCATATGGGGATAAAATCAGATCAACCAACGATGCAAACTCATAATCAATCAACTTGAGAAAGGCCATTTTACAAAATCTAACAAGGATTTGATATCACAAATAATGCCTCCATTCAAGGGCATTTACCCCCACCCAGGCAATGGCTACGTTTTGGTGAATTCTATAAAAATGTCACAGAAAAACCATCTCATGTACACTGTCAGAGTATTTGGAGTTTTGAACAAGTGTCACGACCCTAACAGAAATGAGAATATAAAGGATAACAGCTATGAGTACTTATAGGACCTTTCCAGCCCAAATGACGTCCCTCCAAAACTCTTTTTTCTCTTTCAAAAAATCTTAACAAAGTTTAAGCACAAACTCTCATCAATAGCGTCTGATCACCGTGTCACTAAAACCAGAGACAAAATAAAATTCATAAGAATTGCAATTATAACAAAAAGAATAAAATTTCAAAAGGCAGTAAAAGGACAAAGTAGACCGTAGACCTAGAAAAAAGAATGCAGACTGGTTTTGTGATCTGTTAAAAGACTCAACAATTGCCAAAAGAAATGTTAAAAATTAAAATGACCAATTTAATAACTTCTCAACAACCTGCGCTTGAGAACATTGTATATGTACAGAAGTAGATTTTTGGAATGATTTATACTTCTATGCACTAAACAACATCTGTATGATATATAGTATACCCAAGGGCAGTGGTGTTCACCTTTGCTTGTAAAATATCATAATTTTTGTATGAGCAATGCTTCCCCATCTCATCAAGCTTCTCTTTCATAATGCAACTGAAGTCGTTCGAACCGCAACAAAAATCAACAATCTGTTCAAAGGAACAATAGCTATCTTACTCAGATTAAGTAATACAAGTACATCATGAAGCATTGATATATGAGAATTACCCAAATCAAACATAGGAAAATCAGAAAGACAAGGTTCCACCACTCTCCATGTAAAGGAGAAACAGTGAAAGGTGGTACGCTGCAGCACCACCTCTGACTCTAATCCAACAAACCAAGTCTATCGTAATAATTTTTGAAGTGACAACACTCATAACATCGTGGTTCAACTGCATTAGAGTGGCATAAACACTAGGTATTTATTAATAAGAAAATGTCCCTGGTTTCCTTATTGTTCAAGTGTGCCCATCAAGGTTCAAATTCACAAAAGTTCTAGTGTATTAAATTAGAGAAGCACCACCTTCCCATTTGCTACTTACAGCTCACATTCCCCTTCCTACACCAAAAAGATTACATACAATGTATGTAGGGTAGATTACAAATTTACAATGCCACCCCATGACATTTTGTCAATAACAATGAGACCCCAAAAGGAGGATTAAAGTGGTCGGCATTAATAGCTCAGATTGCTTTACCATAAATATACTGGTCAAAATCGAACATTATTGTTCAATTGGTCAACTGATCCATTGGTCAAACATAAAATAAAAAGAAAATGAAAAAGAGAAAGAAAGCCTCCCCACCTCCCCACATTTCTGGGTGCAAGTGTGATTGTGTGAGAGAGGAGAGACAAGAAAGACAGAAGAATGGGGTGTCTGGGTATGGGACTATCTTGTTCCAATGAGGATTAGCTTGGATTTACCATGATTTTATTCCAAAAAAGAATAAGGGATAATTTTTCTGTTTTCCTGAATAATTTCGAAATGTTGAAATGCCAGTGAGTGTCATTGTAATTTACCCTTACATATGTAGTGCTTGCATTCACGATTTTATATCATCTTATTTGCATCCTTTTGGCTCAATGTCAAAATCCATCTTGAAGTTGAACAAAGTTGAAATAAAGTATCTTCTGATTGTTAAAGCAAAACCCTACAAGTTAAACAATTGGCATGCTGAAGGCATTCTCACAAGAAAAAGAAACAACAGCTTCAAAGTACAAAAGCAAAACCTAGAAGTTTGCAATGTCAATGGCAAGGATCTAAATAGAAATGTATATGTTGCAATGAACCAGGACTAGCTCAAACAAAGAGAACATTCCCTACACATAAGCATGCACATGGTTTTATTAAGATGTATCCACAAGAAATAAGCTGAAACATGCATCCAGAAATATGTCGGGAAAATTAGAAGGAAACAAATAAATGCACAGATTATTACCATATACCCATTTCGAACGTACCAATGGAGCTTATCAACAATCTGCAAGATGAAATTATGCTTTCAGTATTCACTAGAACTCGATGTAACTGTTTTATAATTTTCAATTCTTAACATTTATAAAGAACAGAAAAAAAAAATCCAAGTATACTGATGGAGAGAGCATTAAATGATAATTAATCAGTGTTGGCTCCTGCCGCTCCCCAATGCAAGGTGCATACCTGTCAATGGATTAGATTTTAAGACGATCCTAATAGTCAGATATGGACCTATATTCTTTACTGTGTCCCCAATCCCAGTTAAAATACTTTCTTTATATTCACAAATCAAACATGGGTATACCAATATTCGATCTGATTATAATTTGATCCTAATTAATAATAATTTATAATATATGAGAGATTTCAACCACAAATCACTTAGAATGAATCTACATCACCTATTTTTAGCATAAAATAAGTAAAAGACTTTGATCAATTTCTAAAACCTCCTTCTCTCGCTGATCATAATCATTATTGTAATCTCCCTTAGTCATAATCTAGACAATGAATACAGAGCATCCAATGCAAACTAGTCTCTAAAATTCTAAGCCACACTCACGTGAATAATCTACAAAGTAACAAATAATTCAGAAACTGATAGCAGTTCTTGAGTAGCCCATGAAAGAGAACAAAGATAAGTTAAGAATGATCATAACCATCAAAAGTAAATGTTTCTCTTATCATCGGTCACTGTAAACAATTAACTCACCTCTTGTAGCTTGTCCACTTTTGTAAAATGGCGACCAAAGGACGTGTAGCGCATGCCATGTAGAAACGGGGCCAGATACACTTTTAGCTTGTTCTACATCCACCACAACAAATCAAACTAGATTTAAAGAACATTTTCATCAACTGACACATAAAGGTCAATAAAATGAATGCAATATGGATAATGACTGGAATTGTAAGAATTTTTTACATTTTGGTGCAGTAACACCAAAAGATGAAAAAGACAAGTTCTTAAATCCAAGATACAGGATCAACCATAACTATGCCAGATGTTCATCAGTTCATGTAATCAGTAGGACCACCAAAATTAAATATCTACGTTTAGTTGAGTTCACCAATCATAATATACTTTTAATCATCAGTTTCAATTCCATTCTATCAAATATCACCATTAATGGAGAATCTATTCTGGATCCCCATTTCAGTAACACAAAAAGGCATAAACAAGTGCCCCAGAGCAACAACACCATAGTAATACTTAGATACACATCCAATTTTTTTATTTTTTATTTTTTGCTTGGAGATACACATCCAATTGATATCATAGAAAGAGATCATCGAACTGCCAAACAGATGAATTTTGCTCCTTCCGTGATGGAACAACAGAATTCTCCAGGATTGCTCGAAGAAAGGTCCACCTTACTCTGAAAGAAAACCAACACTAAAATGCTTTTCAAAAGGGCTGTTCTCCGGGTTATTTTGTCCAATCCTCAACTAATCAAGAAAAAAGAAAAAAGGGGAGCCCACTATATGAGGCTCCTGCAAACCCGGGATGATGGTCAAATGTACTCAACCTTTTCCCGCATGCGGACAGGATGCTTTCATGATTTGAGCCCATGATGCTGAGGTTGCAATAGGGCAGGCTCAACATTACAGCATGGCAAGCCCCAAATCCAGAAATATCATGAAAAGAACCAACATAAGATCAAGCAATATTATCCTTATTGACTAATCATTTAATTTCCTAAGTGGTCAAAAGCTTATGGTTGAAAGTAGGAGAATTAATGTGTTGGCTTTCTGCCTATAGTAAAATCATTCACATATTCAATTGGATCATAGGGCCCCCAATGACAAAATAGAAGCACAACAAAAATTTTAAATAAAGCCCAGATAATTAGTCTCAAATTGCTTCTATCCGGCTTGGCCCCCCCAAAAAAAATCAAACCTATAAAAGGTCAAACAATCGTTTCCCCTCTCTTCATTATTTTCTCATTTAAAGCTGTCAAGGCTAAATAAAGAAAAAAAATTATATTCTCTCTCTCTTTCTGAATTAAAGCCCCCTTATAAAGCTGTCACCATTGCATAATTACAGGACATTACATTTTTTAAAAAAATAACCTAGATGGCTAGACATTAATGCACCTTATTAAGCTGCCAACATTTAACTTAGTGTAGGCCCTTACACAAATAAGAAACCAAAGTACTTTAAAAAAAACTACACACCAAGTGGCTGCCACATCTTTTCAGGCACCTTATACTGTTTTTCTCAAGCCATAAGCCCAATACCCATTCTCATACAGTTAATACTAGTGGGAGCCCGAGCGATGCATGGTGTTTTCAATCTCTCCCATTACAATTCTACCACCCTTACCATCACCTCACCCCACCTCGACCTTAGTATTTTTGAAAAATTACTTATTACTGTACTAAATTAAGGAGGATGAAATACATTAGTTTTGTTGGAGTCATAAGCCCGAATGATTTAATTTGATGAGATCAATACATTGTTATTAAATATTTTATTTTAAAATTAAAAAATCTAGTACTTGATGAGGAAAAGTTTCATAAGCATCCTCTCTCCTAAATTGATTGCTATAGTATATAGTAAATATAGATTTAGTGCAGAGACAGTAGGTATGTGAGTGAGAGACGGGAAAGGAAGAGATGGGAGAGAATTCAAGAAAATTGAAATGGGGTTTTGGAGTTCATCCAAGCTAACTACATTGCTATATATTATGTATAGATTGAATCATTCAATAAAATTTAGTTTGTTCATTCATAATTTATATATCTTATATCTTCAATGATGTGATGTAATTTAAGTGACAACATATGTTATTATGAAAGTTAGTTCTCTTAGTTGATTTGAGGGAGAAAAAAAGATCATATATTGGTTAAATCTTATCAATCAGGTGTTTTGGTTTTTAAACTCTATAATCTATTAGATTTTTATCTTAGTATTGTCTTTTATTGTTTAAAGAATTTATTTTGTTTTGTAAGTTTTCTTAATCTCAAAACATTTGAACCAAAAATTATGAATCCAGATGTGAAAAGCATTAAAAAAAAAGGAAAATTTAATGAATTAATTCAATCTTAAAAACCATTGATAAATTTGTGAAAAGGTCTTATCTAAACTTCCACCTAGGACCCCCATTTATATTGAGCCTGCCAATCGGCTTCCCCCTCCTTCCATTTAAAAATAGATAAAATAGCTTCTTTAGTACAATACTGTAGCTTTCCACTAGACAAAATCATAATGATAACTTCTATTCAAAAAATGTTACCAAGATTAGAAGAGTTGTGAACAACATATGCCACCTGTGATCAGATAGATGTACATTCAAACCACGGTAGAAATGGATTAGTCTTCAATGCCAAGATGAATCAAGTCCAAAAAGAAACAGAATCCTAATGCAAATTTTAACCAACCAACAACACCAAAAACAACCACCACCAATGGCATAACTCATCATCTAATTTCAATGAAAGAAGAACTAATATAAAAAGGCTTTGAATAGAATGACCAATTAACGGTGATGAATTGACAATTAGCTTCCACCTCATTATCTGGTAAAGAAGCCCCGGCTCACAAGCAGGTTTTGCATCTTCAATACTGCACCCTTCTTCAAGCTTATGTAAAGCGGCACGAAGAGCCTGCATAAATATAACCGATACAATGTAAATACCCACAACAAGATGGTTCTGTAGAAATTTATAAAAATAAGGTAAATGAGATATTCAACATACCTCAATAGAACCCTCCACCTTCCCCAAGTTTATTGTCTTGTCTATACCAGTTTTTGATGATGCATGTGTTGTTGGCACTTTGTGCTTTTCTATGACCTCCTCCAGTGTTATTGAAGATGCAGCATCTTTCATCAAAGCCAGTATTATGCATTGCAAGAAACAAAAGTAAGAACACAAGATTTTAATTATGTACAATCATAGTTTCAATTCCCGCTCTACAACTAGAAGATAGCAACATTGCAAATCTGATCCAGTTCTAAATTAATGTGTGAGCACATTAGAGAGAGAGAGAACAAAAAGGATGTAGCACTGTAGTAGTAAAAATCAATGTGCCACCTCCTCTTTGCATCAGCATCTAAAGGTGGCGATCTGCTCGCTTCCTTTGCAAGAAGATTAACGGTCTGAGTTTGTTCAAGTACACTATCTGTTATGCCATCCTTCCTTGATTTGCCTGCCTCGAAATCCTTACTATTCAGGTCATATAACCTTTTCCCTAAAGAGGTCCTGCTTTCAGCGGTGTTGGACTTGTTGACTTTCACCAAGGAAGTCTTGTTCAAAGTCTTTCTGGAAGTATCCATTACCTTATGCCTCCACAAGGAATTGGATCCATACAATATTCCCTTACTCTCTTTTAAAGAATCACCCTGCTTTATAGCTGAAGATAACTTTTCAAAACCCTTTTGTGTTTTTACAACAGTTCTCTTCCTAAAATCTTCCTCTAAGACCAGACTTCTCCGCTTTGGTGCAACTTTCTCTCTGCTGGACTGCAATTCTGATGCTTGGTTTTTCTCTCTTTGGGCATTCCATGGGAATTTTATGTGGTTTCTCATAGGAGTCACAAGTTCATCATCAATCTCATGTTTTCTGAAAAGAAGGGAAAAACTAAGCACATTTTTTTTTTTTGGGTTTTGGTAAGCAATTAATGGATGCAGACAACATTAACAAGAAAAATGACGAATGCAAGAGCACTTACAAGCAATATATCAATATACGATTTGGGATAAGACCTTCCCATGCCCTTTGCGTGGTGCCCTCTTCTTCTATATCTTCAAAAGCAATCAATCTGATTAAAGTAACCAAAGCATCAACTATATGTAGACCAGCCATTGAAAATCAATGATGATATTGAGAAAGAACATGCAAAAAAATAAAGGAATACCTAGGTAAACACTTCCTGTGATATGCCTATGGACAACATCTACAAATGGCAAACTGTAATTCAGGATCCATCTTATTTTCTCCCTGTTTACATACAGAGCATTTATGGACAGGACACGTGAACAGTTCCCCAGATGCAATTTTTATTTGAAGCGCCTCAGCCTCAGTTTCATTCTCATGATGGAGCAGTTTTGCTACACAAAGTGGATGGTAGAAATGGCCACAGGTTGCGGAAACACAAGGAAAAACCTGGAAAACATTAGGGAAAAGAAGTCTTTATACATACACATTACAAAGAACACCAGCAATACTGTTCTTAAATATGTGTGGAGATGTGACATTCACATGCCAATAATCTAAGCTTGGTTAATTGTCAAAATAAGATTACAATGCATCCCCATAGCTGCTTATTAGATAATATATAAATAAAAAGTCAATTCTAACAAGCATCTATGCCAAGGACAATGAAAACGGTGGTCTCTCACCAGAATGCTCAACTTATTAAAGTGTCGAGGGCAAAAAAAGAGAGCCAAATTTGAGGGAATCAGTTTAAACTTTAAGGTTCTGAAAATAAGAATAGCAGGCTATCACGTTAGAGTTCACATCTGTCAAAGAGGGAAAGGAAGGGGGCAACGGTCTTGGTGAATTATAGGTACAATCGAACATAAGAATGAAACAGCAAGGCCAACCTCAAAAAAAAAAATTCGACCCAGAATGTATACTGGAAGAAGAAACCAAAACAAATGATGTACTAAAAAGCTTACTACTTTACCAATAAAAAAACCCAACCTAGCTGATCCAAAAAAATAAAAAACAATGCCTAGTAAAAGTAAAAGAGAGAGGAACAGAAATCCTCATGACTTCAGATGAATGTAGCTCCCGGGATACAAGACAAATACATACCTCAATGACTTATTATGAATTATATGCTCCACAATGACTGTTATGGTTAGCCTAGCAGACCCTACAAGTCTTGCTTCCTTGACCTATGCCACAACATGCTAGAAATACTTTCAATTCTTGCTATGACACTAATGCACTGCATTCCTTTTTGATATTATGAAGTGGCATTTCCTTTGTTAAGAGCCTTTGGCATAAATAAAGCAGCAATTTTTTGAGTTTTTCAAAAGAACTCATACCTTAGCACCAGATGATTTATCAGATGACCCCAAACCCCCGCAAGAAAAGCACTGATGTTGTTTATATTGACAATTCTCACAAAAAAAATTCTGATTGCCTGCAAGATATACGTCTATACCTCAATAATGGCTAATATTTACAGGCATAGAGAAAACCAAATCAAGAAATGCATGCCTACAACATTTAAAAAAGTTGACATGAATAGGCAACATACTTCTACTTGCTCATCAGAAAAACCAAGAGATTGGCACATTGAATCAGATCCAGCTTCTTTAGTTGCATGAAACGATCTCAAGCACCTCCCTTTGCAGCTGTATAAGATCACAATTTTTACATAATTTTTCCCAAGGAGAAAAATGATACTCAAAATGTGACGATCACCCAAGAAACAACCACCAACAACGATAGACCTTCTAAACAAGTCAAAAGAAACTGAATGTGAAAATCAAATACCAAACACATGTACCAGATTGAACCAAGTCCACTAAGTCTATTCCATAGAATTTTGGTTGATAAGATTAATTATATTATCTGAAATGGGGAAAATGACTTAATAGAAAATGGTGCCTCTGCAAAGAAAGATTAACCAGCTTAATACCCAGCATGCATGTTATGGATACAGCGATACAAAAAAATCTTAAAAAATAGGATACAAATATGGCTAGAATATGTATATGTATATTATAGAATGTTACTCTAATAATAGGGGTATGAGGGATTAAGAGATTATATACATCCCAAAGTAAAACAATTTATGTTGCTGACATAAGGACTGCTTAATTGTGTTTTGAATCCAGTGTTTTATATAATTCTAAATTTAAACATGTTTTCCCTTCCGAGAGTCCTCAAATCTTGCTTAGTTTTTAATTGCAACAGACTTCAATGTCAAAGAGCCATAAAAACTCATTTTTCGGGGTAAACAAATTGTAAAGACTTCATAAAACTTGTGACACATGTGATGTACGTCAAAATAAACATCTTGAAATAAAGAATTCCCATTTTTATGATTTATGGTTTCTACACAATCCACCTCACTAAGTCTAAGGCAAATGTATCCAACGTAGAGATAAGCATATTCGAGATATATCTGACAAGTATCCAACAATGATAAATATTTTATTAATTATTAGATACTTGTGGAATCCGCAAGTATCCAACGAGTATCGATTTCCGATACATATCGAATATGGATACGTCACCCCGATGGAAATATTTGTGCTTCATAGCAACACACATATCATGCAACTTAATCTTATAATTTTGAAGGACATCAGAGCACAATAGGCCAAGAATCTAAGTCCAGTCAATTGAATACTAATCACACTATTAGTCCGTTCAAATATTTATTATGCACTCTTCCAATCCTCGAAACCTTTGTCAAAAGATGTCCACAGAGAAACCAGCAAAGTAAACAATCCAGTCCCAACATTCCACTTTTTTTCATGAGCAATTGCTCTATAGCTTTCCTCAAGAGAGTATTTCATAGCTAGCACGGCATTCTTCTTTCATTTCTACATCTCCTACATCATAAGAACATTGACATTTACAAAAAGAAATATCAAAATAGTGAAGGTGGTTAGACAAACTGCTACAGGGAGGGAGAAAGCAGTAGCAAAAACAGTATAAATGATTGACATGGAGAGTAGTGTACCTACTAAACACACTAGATGTGCAAGTGATTAATAATTTAGAAAGGAGACATACCACAAAAGTTCACCACCATTATCACAAAACGTGCAGACATAATCAAACAAACCTTCCTCATCATAGGACCCATCTTCTTCAATTTCATCAATCATATCATTATCAACTGTAAACCCAGACTTAACTACGGGTCCCACAGCCTGCCAAAAAAGCAAGCACAAATGCTCTAACGAAAATGTTTAATCAATGAAGAGACATGAGGTAAGTGCTTTTGGGAGGAATGGAAAGAGGGTGGGAACGTAACCTCGTCAAAAGATTTCCTCTTTCTAGGCTTCTCCTCCAGAATTGTGCCTAAAAACTGTACAACAAATTACAATTTCACAACAGCGAACCTAAACAAAAATCTCCTCAACCCAATCAAGTCTTGTCCCAACTACACTTGAGCAAACATCTAAAATGATTAAATTTCTTTGAATCTTTTCATATATATAGTCATACTCTGGATTGCTCGCAGCACCTTCACGTCAATGTCAGACATCATTCAACGACAGTGACAGATTCAAAATATACATTTCCATCATTCAAGACATTCTTCGCACATATACGATTTTATACACATGCACACATACAATACCAACCAGTTGACCATACGAAAATTGAGAACCATTTCATACCTTACTGCATAAATTTTTTTTTTTTTTTTCTTAATGAATGACAAGATGCTCTTTCTACACTAATGGCAATGGCAAAGAATACAAACCTTGGATTTCGCCAAAGCTTCATCCCTTTGAACAGCTTCACTTATTAAATCTGTGTGATCCACCAGGTCAGACTGAGAAGGCTTAGCCTCGTATGAGCTGCAAATTGCGTGGAAGTGTGAAAGATGCCAACAGCAAACAAAATAAAAGATATAAAGGCTGGGATAGGAGTATGCAAACCTGAAGATTTTAGATAGATGATCCCACAAAGCTTTCCCAGATGATTCTGGATTCTTTTTCACAAAATGTAGGCAGTGCAAGGTGATCAAGATCGTCCTTATAGCATCTTCAAAACTCTTCCTTAGCTTTTCCAGATTGATCCAACTATTTTCCTTAGATAGCACTGACATCTCTGATTTTGCATTTGAAAGGTCGAACTTCCATGCTGTGACCTGTTTATATATTTTGTGAAGCCCATTACCAGTATTAAAGCTACCGGGTGGACATAATTTCAGGGCAAACCTATAACATCAATCACATTATGTGGCCATTTATTCCCAGGAAAGTGTAAGAAAAAAAGAAAGAACAAAAAAAGTTTTCTTCCCTGACTTTCCATTACATGAAAGAGTAAAAATCATAGTTGGTCCCTAAACTTTATCTTTCATTTTAGGGTTAATCTCATTTTACACCCCGAAAGATCGTTCGAATCTCAATTTGCACCCTCAAAGAGCAAAAATCTCAATTTGCACCCTCAAAGATAGAAATTTGTATCAATGTGCACCCCCAAAGATCAAAAATCTCAATTTGCACCCTCAAAGATAGAAATTTGTATCAATATGCACCCCCAAAAATCAAAAATCTCAATTTGCACTCTCAAAGATAGAAATTTATATCAATGTGCACTCCAAAGATAAAAAATCTCAATTTGCACTCTCAAATATATAAATTTGTATCATTATGCACTTAAAACTAAATTGATAAATTATACCTAGATCTCCTCATGTTTGTCACTTAATCATTTGGACCTTTTTACATTTAGAATATTACTCCTACATCTCATAACATTTATGCACGTACAACATGTAACTCATTTTCATTGATATCTGTTAATATAACCGTTAAAAAATATAATTTTATCCTAATAAAAAATTATAATTTCATATTACCCTTATTTTATGGGTCCAATATACTCTAAAATTCAAAATCAAGCTTACCATTTGAATGTCTAATAAAATGTAGATATTTATATAATGTTTTTCATATTTTCCTTTATATAAATATCTACATTCTATTAGACATTCAAATGGTAAGCTTGTTTTTGAACTTTAGAGTATATCGAATCCACAAAATAAAGAGTAATATGAAATTATAATTTTTTATTAGGATAAAATTATATTTTTTAAAGATTATATTAATAGATATCAACGAAAAGTGGTTATGTTTACACATGTACAAACGTCATGAGATGTAGGGGTAATATTCTAAATGTGAAGGGGTTCAAATGATTAAGTGACAAACACGAGGGGATCTAGGTATAATTTATCAATTTAATTTTAGGTGCACATTGATACAGATTTATATCTTTGAGGGTGCAAATTGAGATTTTTGATCTTTGGGGGTGTACATTGATACAAATTTCTATCTTTGAGGGTGCAAATTGAGATTTTTGATCTTTGGGTTGCAAATTGAGATTCGAACGATCTCTCAGGGTGCAAAATGAGATTAACCCTTCATTTTAATTTGGTCCCTAAATCTTTAATTGTCTCAATTTAGTCCCCCAAATATCTATTTTGTTTCTATTAGTCATTAGATCAACACTAAAATGGATCAGATTGGGTTAGCCTCCAGTTTACTAGCGATAGAAATTGATGCAATAACTTAATTAAGACGAAATTGGTAGTTGAAGGATTAAATAACAACAACTGAAAGTTCAGGGACTAAATTAAAATAGAAGGCAAAGTTCAGGGACTAAATTAAAATAGAAGGCAAAGTTCAGGGACCAATTATGATTTTTTACCCAAGTTTTTCGGTGCTTTAGTCACCAACAACATCAAACATGAGACTCAAGATTTCCCTTCGTTTTCCATTCCTTGTTTTTCCCAGAATTAGAAAACCATCTTGCATATATTTCGCTAAACATATTTCTTTTTTTCTTTTTCACGGTTTTTCAACGAAATTCAGAACAACATCAAGTTGGATACAATACAACCCAACCACCCACAGATTGTAACAGTAAACTTCGTGCTCTTGCCTTTCCCTCCGTTTACTCACCAACCAAACAAGATATAAGTACTAAAAACCCGAACCCATGCATTACAATTCACAGATTCGAATGCTGTGTCTAACATGATTATACGACCACAATTCAAGAACAAAAGTAGGAAATACTAAACACTAAATAAAAAAACGAAAAGTAATGAAAATGTCATCCACTGATGGATAAATTCTTAGCGCTTCGAAAACGTATAAAGACAGTAAAGAATGAAGGTTTACCTAACCGAGAACCACCGGAATCACCGATCGTCGTCTAAGTGATCTCTTTCCGGTGAACGATAATTTGTACGGTCTTTCCTCTTTTTGATTCGGCGGTACGTAGTGGGATGAGCGAAAGCTATCGTCACATGAAGTACTTAACCGCTTGAATTGATAGGTTAGGGCGGTAATTCAATTGAGCGAATTACACTTTCTACCCAAAAGATCATTTGCATTCTTAATTTGTACTCTGAAAGTTTGAAATTCTCATATTACTGCCAAGGGAAAAAGATTCCACAAGTCCACATCTGACATCTTTTAGGCAGGCATGTGTCAATTATGTAGGTTGAGGAGAGTTCATCTCAAAAAATATTTAATTTATTTTATTAATTTGTATCTAATGAGTCGTGTTATATCGAATTTATATCTTATATGAATCGTTCAAAATCGACATATAAATGAGTATTCTCGTATATTTAATTCATCATGTCGTGTCGTATCATGTTCGTGTTGACTCATATAATCCGTGAATAAAAAATTTAAAACTTTGTTTTATGTTTAAAATTTTATTATCAATTAATTGAACTTATACTCATATTTTTTTATAAATTAAAAATTAAATTAATATAACAATAAAAATAAGTAAAAATATATTTTTTGGTACAAGAATTAAGTCACTACTTGATAAAATTAACATATTATTCTTATAACACTAGTTAAATGTGTTAATTGTGTCAATTTTGTATTGTTCGTGTTTCCACTAACCCAACCTATTTATTATTCGTGTTAACGAATTGTGTCATGTACCGGTTCGTGTCAAAAAATGATCAATCTTGATCCGCTAATTTCATGTCAATTACAAATCGTGTTTTCGTATTGTGTTAAAAATTGTCATTTCTAATTTAAAGTAAGGTTTTATATGATGGAAAAATTAGTCTTTTTTTTTTATCCCATACACACATTACATCAGACAATATTTTCGAATCCATACCTTACTCCTTTTCGTTATTCTTTTTTTCCCCTTTTTCTATTTTCATTTTCAATAACCCCATTAGTGGAATTTAAATTCAGACTTTAGACCACAAAAATTCCATACCCCTTATCTTTCATAAGATCCAACTCAGTTCTCCACAAATTCACAGAATCATAACTGGGATAGCAAAAACAAGTACCCAACACCATGCTAGTCTCTATTTACTTTGAACTATAAACTTCCATTAGTTATTCTAAACAGACACCAGTTCACCAGGAATTCAAACTGCAGCCCAGACCCCTTGATTCAATGAACTAAGTTATATTTCGAAACGTTTCCATGAAATTAAAACGAATCGTTGATTGAATATAAAAATACCTGTGTTTAAATAATTTTTGACTTATATTTCAATATATTTTGACCAATATTTCAAAAATAAATTTTTCTATGTTTTCATCTCATTTTTAAAACATTACTAAAACGTTTCCGTTTTCAAGATCGCCAAAACTATGTACATAAATGAAATTTTGATCATTAGTATGATTATTACTACTTAACATGATCAACGAAATTACTGTCAGATACATCTCTCTCCGCAAAGAAACTCAATACAAAAGAACTGAAAATCACAAGGGGTCAAAAAGAAAGTTTACAAAAAAAGTAAGACAGGAAAATATATCTCAAAAGCAACATATTTTACAGAGTTCTTCCCCATTTTGGACCACAAACAAAGTGCTGCTGCTTTTTGTTTTTCATTTGCAGCAGCAGTATCTATCATACTGCCTACCTTATAGAGAAACAAAATTATTTTTCCTTCTTGTTATTTTCCTTCATTATTTCTTCCCTTGTTTTCATGGCAATGTCCTGTAGAGAAAAACTTGCAAACTATGGTTCAATATGTTGTGGGGTGTCTTTGTTTTCAACCTCTGAGGAGACTGTAGTATCAGAAGCTGCATCATCAAGTGTCAAGTTTGAGACTTCACCTAGAGAGCTTTCACCGACTATGGACTTCTCATCTTCACCATTGACAGATGGTGCAGGGGATGCGTCGGGACTTGCAGCAGCAATAGCAGGGAATGGACTCAGGGAGCTTTCATCTTCACCATCAATAGACGGCGCTGGGGATGCATCAGGAGTAGTTGCAGTAGCAGGGGACAGAGACGACTCGGACTCTTCCACTTGTTGCTGAAGGCTCCAGTACATGATGCCAGCTGTAAGAGTAAGCATCATCTTTTGGTTTACCTGCCATAACGCCGCAATGAAAGCAACTACGAGCATTCATTAAAAGGAACATGAAATAAAACCACTTCTTAATTGTTATGCCACCTCTGTCACTAATAGGAGTAAATGAAGAGGAGGTTTGGTGGCGTAATGTGACCACTATTGAACCATTTGATCAATTTGCAGAAAAAGCCTCCCGAGTGAACTTCTTCCACATATTTAGTTATTTATCCATTCTTTACGAGGGGAAGAGAGAGGGGGATGTTGCAGTCGTCATAAAGACACTTGAGATGCAATTGACGGTTTTCCTAATAGGTGCCACAGCAGCAGTGGCTACTGGCAGAGCAGTATATAATTGTGGACGCGAACTGTACACCTTTCCAAAGCAGCACTTGCAATGGAAGCAGAAGGCGTATTCTCTGACATGCAGTGAGCATTGATTCTCATAAAGCTACATTAGTTGTCTAGATACAGAGAGATTCATGCTTAATAACACAAATAAGAATCTCATTACATTTGCAATCATACCTGCATGATGTCTTCAGGCAACAAGAAAATCGAACATCCAAGCTTTCTTGCAACACTAATTATATAAGTAGCATTCAACTTCTTCTCGTCATCTGTCATATCAACAACAGCAGCACGGTCATTTTTCCCCTAAGCATATTTTTGTCAGCATCAGAAATTTAGACGTTAATCACTTGTAGAAGAATGGGATATAGTTAGAGCAAATGAAAAGAGCTTTGGTCCCATCTAATCACTTGTAGAAGAAAGGGATATAGTTGAGCAAGTGAAAGGAGCTTCAGTTCCATCTATTCTCCTTGCATCAACTTAATGTCCATTCAATTGCTAAGAAATTGGAGGAACAAACACGTATAAGACAAACATTCTCTTTTGGTTATGCTTCCAACTCAGCACCCAAAGAAAAAGTAATAGTCTTAGGCTATGAGGAATGTGCACACAAAAAATGGTTACACAACTGTAATTTCTTTCTCTTTTTTTGTTATGCTTTCCATCAATCAATCAAAGCCTGATAGCAAAAACAGAAAGTGCTCCATTTCCCTTTACAACAAAACTGAATCTTATTTCTTTCACAAAAAATTCTTACAGTTGCAAGAATCATACCACTTTCTCCCTTTGTGACAAGATTCCAATTGACAACCCTTGGCTCCACCGCACTGAGAAGCTCAAGGAAGAACAATCCACTTGAAAGGTTCTTATCCTGGACAAGCATTCCAAAAAACAAAAACACCACCTGTTAGTCATAGTACAAAATATGATAATTAATGAGAAGAATGCCAACTTTTAACCTTAAAACTCTCCATTTGAGAATTTCTGCCTGTGCTCTTCACTTTTTTGTTTGCCCAATCTAAGATATTTGTGTCTGTAATCTCTTTTCCTTGAAAGCGGGATCTCAAGTTCTTCAAGAGTTGAAGCATATTAAACCTCATCAACTGCCACAAAAAAGCTGAAAAAAAGTAAACAAATTTGAGCTCTTCGGACAACCAATGTTTTCAGTATATATCAGCAGAAAACAATAGAAGATATCCTCAATTCAAAAGCAGGAGTTTGTATAACGACAATAAATTTCCCGCAAGGAATTCACTTGGGTGAAGACAGACAACTTTCACAATTAAATGTAAAAATTCTTTTCTTATAAGCGACTGCTAAGAGACATGTCTTAGCCCTGTTTAGCTAAGTTAATTATGCTGACCAGGTAATTTATGGGTTTTTAATCTGTCAAAGGCAGGAGTATATTTCATTTCTGTTTGATTGCAGGGCCTGCACGATGATATTATGTCCCGACTAAATGGATCTCAAGACCTGAACGATGGTCTTATTTTCCACCTTAATGGATTGTTGTGAATCAATGTCTATGCAGGAACAAGAATAGTACTAGCCAATTCATATGAAAGAAGTGGATCCCAAAACTATGTGTAGGTTCGGTACATCATAAATTCTTAATTCTCTAGCAGCATAACAGCTGCCAACGAGGATGGCGTATCTAGGAACAGTAGCGGAAGGAAGTTATGGCAAGGCACCCCTCTCCCAGCCCCAACCCTAAATCAAACTTCACTACGCAAACTAGTCCTCACTTTGCGATGGGCACGGGAAAGTACATAGGGTGTGACCAAGGATCAAAATTTCGTTTCGAAGTACCGTTTCGGTCAACTCAAAAATAGAACCGTTTCGGAAACATTTCGGAAACGCAATGGAAACGTAGAAAAAATATGGAAACGCATAGAAACACAAATGCAATCCATTAATTTATAAAGATATGCTAAATAATTTATTAATTCAACATATTTATTAGGTTAACATCAATTTATACAAGAATAAATTTAAATTTGAGGGAAAAAAAGGCTTGACTTGAGGCGAAAGTCACTTAAATTAGTTTCAAACACTTAATTTTTATGAAATAAACACATTTTTACATAATATTAACGTCTTATAATACACATGAAATGCTAATGAGTACATACTTACATGATTACATCCATTCCCCTGTGGAGTGTCGAGCAGGCTCATACATCGGTGTAGGCTCTGGGTAGCTACTTAGAGAAACTCCATATGTGACATAAATATGATGACAATAGTTACTCAAAATCATATTATTACGGTAATATAATCCAATTAATAATACTATTTTATTATAATACTAATAATGAAGGGTATCAAATTAAATTAATGATACTTATGTACACTTAAAAATTAAATGTAATTGCAGTGGGTATTAAATGTAATTACAGTAGGTATTAAATATAATTACATTAGGGTATTAAATGTAATTGTTAATACTTATAACAAAAAAAAAAACAAAAAACTTGCACAGCAGTGAGGTATTAAATATAATTACAGTATGTATTAAATATAATTATAATGGGTATTAAATATAATTATAGTAGGGTATTAAGTGTAATTATTTATTCTTATAACAAAAAAATTATAAAAGACAGAAGAGCAGTGGGAATTAAATGTAATTATAGTGGGATATTAAATATAATTATAGTGAGTATTAAATGTAATTACAGTGGGTATTAAATGTAATTATAATGGGGTATTAAATGTAATTATTCATAATGAACCGAATATATCACTGTTTTGTCGAAACGGTTCGAAACAATGCCGTTTCGACCGAAACGGTTCGAAACAGTACCGTTTCGACCGAAACGGTCCGAAACAGTACCGTTTCGACCGAAACACTGGAATTTTGTGATTCAACTACTGTTTCGTTTCGGAGTGTTGAAATTCCGAAACGTTTCGGACGTTTCGGACGTGTCGACACGACATTTTGATCCTTGGGTGTGACAACTATCATTTTACACATTCCCGGTTCTAATTTCGACATAGTTGACTGCTTGCCAAAATCAGGTTTAAAGGTGCCAACTTCAAAAAAGTAGAAGTCCTAACTTTGCATCTTCTTCTTGGGGCTACCCAGATGGACTTTAGTATAGACTGGCACGGTGCATGGCTCATGTGGATTGTTCAAGAGCCCCAGGCACCGTTGTCATGAAAATATAAAAGCACAGATTTTTGTCTATCGAACCTTAAAGTACAGCCTGTGACAGACATGCTCCACCTGGGAAGAGGAAGTCAAATGAGTGACCGCACCAGAAGTTAACCATTGCAAGGGAAGGATTTTATAGATGCATTGATGACTCAACTTCCTTCAAAAAGAAAAGGTCTGAAAATTCAACTTACAAGCATATACAGGACCTATAGCTAGCACATAAATGGTCAAACCTAGTGAACTGGGCATGCGAATTTACATTGGTTCTCTATCATGAGCTCTTTATATAAACCAACTCGATCAAAATCAAAGAAAACTAAAAGCAAATACATCAACAACCTGGGGCTCCAAATAAGTTTGAGGCTTCTGTGGGAATCCAAGATTGCAATGTTCTAAAACCCCAACCTTAACTGGCCAGTCAGAGATCCAGACCAAGAAGCAAGCCATTTATCAATTTCCATAAGAATATGCTTCATTGTTTTGAAAATCCTAGTCTCCTATACATAACCACAACAATAACCATAGATACTTAAGACCCATGTCTGAGATGCTTAAAAATCCAGGACAGTATATTATAGAAGAAACTAATAAGATTGGATATTTGACAGATTGATAAACCTCAATCCATATCCTATCTTACACCAGATCCGAATAAATAAATCAGATTCGCATCGAACTCAATTGGATTATGACCATTGACAATCCTAGATGTACCACTTTGGCAGTTAGGTTAAAATTTAACGGTTCCTGGTTTGCTCTTTGCCATTTACTACGATTACTTGATATATTCGTATGGCGCAAGTGCAACTGCATGAGATATGTTTTTTACACAGAATAGCAAAATATCAAGATGACACTTACAACAAGTAATTCTTTCTAAGCATCTATCTAATATGCATCTGAGTTGGTAAAGGCACTTTGTATGGGAGTTTGCTGAAATTGAATATCAATGAATGTGTACCATACCAAATCTGGCTGATATAAGAGAGCAATAATCACACAGTCGTACTTGCAATGACAGAAGAACAATGCAAGAAAGCAATAAGTAAAATAAACCGCACCAGAAATTTGTGCTAACCATCAGGTGCAGGGTTCTAGCAATAAAAATAGCTTGAGATAAAGGCATAAATTACATTACCTAGTAAAAGCTTCTTATTCCCTTGCACAATATCATTTCCAGCCACATTCACTAGTGATAATTTTAACTGCTTCCCGATCCTAACAACTTGGTTGCAATTCTCTACTTTTCTAAATGGCATTTTAATAGGAGGTTTTGTTGCGTGCTTCCAGTTAACTGATCCCGGAGAAACCTTGTCTAGCACCTCTAGAAGTGTCCATCTGCATGCATGACAGGTCCACATTAAAAGAGCTTAGAGGAGTCAATCCTAAAATAGAAACAAAAACAGGTGACAAAATTATTCCGACACAACCCTCAAAGATAATTCAAAGTTGGATAATTGATCAAAAAAATACTGTTAAAAATGGTAACAGTTGGAAGGACTTGTTGACCACATGTGAGAGGAAATAGCCAACAAGGATTGGAACATGAATTTTTAGTTGTGAAAGGTCATGTGAGTTAAAAATAAATCAACTAGAACGCTATACACTTCTGCAAATAATCTGGAATTCTTGTATTGTTTTCAACTCTGAGTATAATTGCATAATCACGCACCCATTTCTAACATCCTCAAACAAGTTATTAACATAAGAAGCAATTCCAAGACTGTTGATCCATAGCCGAAAGCATCTCTCCTCTCTAGATATTTGCTCATCATCTGTCATCATTTCTGCAAAGGATATCTTCTTGCTATCTGTTGACAAGCCATTCCTGCAAAAGGTACTTAAATTCTTGAAAACGTGTTCAGACACTCAAATCCCATATATAAATCCAGAAGCAGCACGAAAACACAAACAAATTGATAGGTTGACACTGATACAGCCAAATATTTAATATAGGGGTTGTTAGTTGAAACAGAAACGGATTCGCACAAGTATGAGGCTACCTAAAACAGAGACCGACTAAATACAAATGAACATGCAAAATGGCTTTTATACCAGACTTGCCAGTATATTTATAAATATCATCTTATCACCAAACTATGGGCCACAAATGACAAACAGAAGGCTTTTTAAAAGGATACAGCACATGTAGAAAAATAATAAAGCAAAAACCCAACTTTTGTAAATTATTCATTCTTAATCCATACGAAAGTTAAAAATGACATTGCCACATGCCATAGTCTGTAAGTATTTCACTAAATGAAGGAAAAAAGAAAAAAAAACCATACGGAAATTGCCACACAAATTTTAAATCAAACGAGAATAAATAAGAAGGTTTATTTCCAACCTTTGATGAAATATTTGTGCAACAAATGCAAGATTCAAGTTGGGTGAACCTTCAACAATATCTTTTGGGGTTAAGTATCTTTTGCAGTCCATTCTTTCTGCATGCTCAAGTACCAAATTAGCTCTCTCAGCAGGATCCTTAGCATCTAACGTCGCTGGACTACAGTGCTCTGGTGCAAGGACGTTTAGCAAGTAAGCGTAGGCTTCTCCATCCTGCAGTGAAGAAGAGAGCATACGAAATTTTATAGACAATAAACATTGCGATAAACTATTCCAGCTGTGAAGTGGATTAAATATGTCGAGAAGATGGCACTCAGAAGGTTCATGCACAGTTACTAACTGGTTAGCTGTGTTGATTCATTGATCTTAATTCTTAAAGAATTATAGGGTATGTAGTTGGTAGTGAAAATAAGGACACATGATTGGTAAGGAAGCAAAAGTAATATTTTAGAGCAAAGAACGTTTTCTCTGGAATAACATCTGACCCTAAATCATATGACTTGTTCTAAATAAAGAAACCATAATATTTTACCTATGCCAATGATTCCTTCTATTGATGCTATGAGGGAGGATTTGGGATCATATGACCACAATATGTAGCCTGACAACCCCCTCCCCAACACCAACAAAAACAAACAGATGAGGCACGTGGTCACTTAATGTAAAGTAAATATGCTACTCCTTGAGCTTTAAATCTTTTGAGTTCCATTGTTAATGAATAGCCAATGGAATTGTTGGATACCTTCAAGTCAGAGGAGAAATTTGTCACAGGTTTCTTGTAGCCTGCTTTCTTGAGATGGAAATTCATCCATTTTAATAAGACCTTTTCAGGGGCTAATCCAATAAGCTCCTCAACATCCTGCAATATTATAGATGCATAGTGATACTCGCAGTATGGTTGGTCCAGAAAATATACACTAAAGTTGAAAAAATATTAGCACTCTAAATTGCTTGAGATATACGAGAAGTCAAGAACAACTATTCAATTACATTGCTCTCCTCCACCAATTCCACAAGCTGAGGTGTCTTCCTAAGGTTGAGATCTGCCAATAGTTGGATCTGAAAGTACAATTCACAATAAGTTACTGTAACAGAATGAGAATCAATCTACAAACTAGGAGTGCAACGCCTCTATGATTAACATATGAACCCCTACCATCATATCGGTGTGTTGTTTTCAATATAAAGACTAAAAAGACTCACTAATAGGAAACATAAAGTTTAAATACCAACCTTTATAATTTGAGAAATCAACCCAAGTACCAGATGAGGCTGCAGAATGAATAATTAGAAACAAAAAATTAGGACTCCAAGAATCTCCCAATATCACCTGTATGGATATATGTTATGGATATATCTGAAATAACTCAACTCACTCTTCCTTCAACCAGGTCTTGGGTGCCAATATTAACTACAGTGCAACCTATAGCCTTAGCAGAGTTGAGGCAAAGTGTATGATTCTCATTTCTTTCCCATGGGTTGAGTACTCGTTTCGTGTTGATAGCTCTTTCATCTATTGTACCCGGCACAGCAACATTGATAAGCTTACTGCATCAAGCCATGAAACAAATCAAAACAAACACAACCTATTAGCTTCTATTGTTGTAAGAGTATTTTAAAAGAGACCCCGCTTAAATACCAGAGAAGAACTCCATCTTTTGCAATATCAAATAGAGCATTTGTAGCTGGATCCATAGGGAGAAACTGCTTCAAAAATGGATCATCCCTAAGATAGCTGTTGATGTGAGCAACATAAGATTCTTTCTCTGATTCAATTATAGTGTGAAGAAGGGTGGTTGTGGTGGCCTTGAGGAACGACGAGGAGTTTTTTGAACTACCCAATTTGGTCGTATCTCGAGCTTGCAAATTCAGATATGTCTGCCCATTCAATGCACTAATTAAGATATAACTAAGCATTGTTCAAATCGAATGCAAGTAAATTGGCAGCATACGTTTTTTAATATGCTGATAAAAACTGTACCCCTCTAATTCCACAAAAGTAAAATTACAGCCTATCAACTCATATTTTAGTTGTTCATTTCATACAACTATATTTCACTACTATTGAATTTAATAAGACTGATACTGAGAAAGGAAGTAGACAAAGACTGACCCTGAGGAAGCCTTCAAAATCAATCTCAGTACTCTTATCAGAATCTGACTCGTCCAATATCCTTCTAATCTCGTCCTCGTTGAACATCTCACTGAAAGCCTTTAGTTTCGCCATTAAAGGTGGCAAATCACCAACAGTAACTTTACCATTCTGATTCCTCAATGAATTAAACTACAAAAAAACCAAACAAAACAAGCACACATTTCACTCATTAATAAACTACCACAAGACCCATCAATAACTCATTCAAATCAATGTCATGACCAAATTCCAAAAGAAGCAAATATCGCAGAAGCAATGACATGTCAAGGAGAAGGAATGAGAAATAGTTACTTTGGATTTGAGGCTCCGGAGTTCAACCTGCGTGAACTGGCTTTGAAGCCACTGATCAGAAACAAGAACACCCACAAAACTAGACATCTTCCTTAGCCCCGCGGTTATTCAAATCACGCGCGAGGAGAAGAAAATCACTTGCCTGCCAAATTTCGTCCCCAAATTGCTACCAACTCAACCAGAATCTTCAAAACAAGCATTCAAAAACCATAACCAGATTCAATGACGCGTATTCAAACAGAGATATATAAACAAATGGTGCAACAAACCATTAGCAAATAATGCTACCAGGTGACAAAACTCGAATAAATCTCCACACCCACAAAACTAGACATCTTCCTTAGCCCCGCGGTTACTCAAATCACGCGCGAGGGGAAGAAAATCAATTGCCCGCTAATTTCGTCCCAAAATTTCACCAAATTGCTACCAACTCAACCAGAATATTGAAAACAAGCATTAAAAAACTATAACCAGATTCAATGACGCGTATTCAGACAGAGATATATAAACAAATGGTGCAACAAACCATTAGCAAATCATGCTACCAGGTGACAAAACTCGAATAAATCCCCAATTTCATTCAATATCTAGAAAAAAAGATGTGTTCTAGTTCTTCATAAATGGTGATTCAAAATGGTTGAAACTCATAAAAGAAGTCGTAAGACTGAAGAAAACGCATGAAATGCATACCTGCAGAAATCAGTTACTCATTCTAATCACCTTTCTAATTCATGTTTCGACTGTGAATTTTCACACACTGACACAACACATAGAGAGAAAGAATCAATATTTGCTTCGTTGGTGGGCAAAGGGCGAGAGAGAGAGAGAGAGAGAGACGTTTGAGACGTCGACACGGCAAGACCATGAGGGAGGAATGAGGCCAATGACGATAGTTAATATTTTGATTGAGTGGTAAAATTGTACGCGCTGGGTATCATAAAAAACCTCACTCGCCTTTTCTGTCGAACATCTCATCACGTAGTTTGCTCCTGTATCGCCACCTCAGCAACAGCTTCGACATTTTTGTTTTCTTCCGTCAGGCCTGTAAATGGTGTTAGAATTAGACCGGTTCATGCCGAGTTTTAAAAAAATTGATGTTGAAAAATATTTTATTTATTAATTTATATCTTTTTTTAATTATTTTATATAAATCATATTTAATCAATATATAATTATGTCGTATATTTTTTTATTAATTTTGCTCCTAATTTTTTTTTTATTAATTTTGTCTTTATCAAGTTCACTCGTGTATTAAATGAAAACATAAAGACTCAAATCCTCAAATTGTAAACCGTATTTACATTTTATTCAAGTGTTAGTGGGCGGGTTAGATTTTGACACCCTTTCTGTCTTTTGAGAAGTTAAAAATAAAATTTCAATTATATTATCCATATTTCACAACAATTACACATTTATACCAAAAGGGATTCATGGGTTAATTATCACTACATTAACCACTTAACTTGTAGGATTATCACTTTGCTTGTTGACCCTTTTATTTAGTTACAACTTAACTTTGAAAAAAGATTATATACGAAAAAAAAGTTCTAAATATTCTATTTTTTCCACCGTCCAAATTGATATAAGTGAATAATATGCCTTTTTTAATAAGCAGCGACTGGTATAACTCGATGTAGTTTTTATTTTGAGCTTATATTATTTTATATTATTTTTTAGTTCAACTCAGAGGTGTTTGGGTGAGTTTATGTGCACTTCGTCTAATCTCTTTTTTAGTTTGATCAAAAATAAATTATTCATGTTGAGGCTAGGGTATTCACTAGGGATAAATTTTTTATGTCCCGACTCCAAAGAGTTATCAATATTTAAATTTAAGACGTCTAAATTTATAATTAATTTTTATTATCACTTGAACTATCCTTAAGTTGTAATATTTTTTAACTCTTAGGGTTGTCATGTTTCTGTTGGACAAAAACAGTTTTTTAAATATAAAAATTGAATTTTTAGTTGATTTTAAACCTAAATTCAAATGAGACTCGTTTGTTATTTTGAATAAATTTTCGTAAATTCATATTTTATTCCGTGAGAAGAATAACGTGGTATATTCATTTGTTCAAATCGAATAAAAAATGAATGAGAAAATAGGCTCCAAAATGACTCTCTTGAATTGTGAAATAAAGGTTGTCCAATGATACTTTTTACTTTGTGAAGACTTTGCCTTCTTGAAGTTATGGATTCAAGTTCCCTTCCCCCCTCCCCAAAAAACATATTTAAAAAAAATGTGGGATTTGACACCAATCTTACATTGATTGATTAAGAAATTCTATATAGACATATATATAGGGCAAATTTACTCTATGGGATTGGGCCTCAAGGGTACCATAGTTTTACGAACGGAATGAACGTCTATGTACCTTCAATTTGACCATGCGCGTGTCGCTCGCCTCTCCTCGCCATGACTCGGGCTCAAGTGTGGGTTAGACCAAACTCTATTTTTTTGAATAAAATTCATTTAATTAATGGCACGAGAATTTCTGAATCGAAATTGATTTTCGGTACGCACTAGGTCAAATAATCTAGTCCAAAATTGAATTTGTTATTGTTCATGAATAACAGTTATTCAAAGTGTCCACTAGCTGGTCGATTTTTTGTTTCTGGTTGTGTCATTTAGTGTGGCAGCTGTCCAAACAGTCACTAGACTATCAATAAATACTCAGTTCAATCATTCATTTTATTCATTCAATTTATCAGTTCATGTTCGGCATTAGGGCAGTTATTTGTGCATTACATTAAGGCAGTGCATTTGAAGAGTACACAACATAAATTTGGTTCACTGAACGAGTAGATTGCAATACTACTTTTGCTCGTGAAAATATCATTGTATCCTGCGAGACAGACCCTCGACATTCTATAAGTATCGTGTGTGGGGGCGAAATCTGTATTAAGGACATAATATCAAACACTAGTTTTTATCTACTTATTATTCTATTCTGCAAACAAGTTAGTATTTATGTTGAATTATTTTAAATAGTTACGTGTAACTGTTTGTTGTTACTGTTCTGTTACACTGTTGTAACCCTTTTGTGTCTCTGTTTCGTAAGCCTGATGTAACTTTTTCGTTTATTATTGTGTAACTGTTTCATACTTGATTGTTACATGTTTCAAATTCAAAAATTTTAATAAGTAATTTTACAATTTTGAACACCAGATTCAACTTTTTCAAACTAAGTTGTTGTTAAAGAATGTCAATCAATGGAACTTTGTAACATAAGAGTTTAGATAAGAGCATAAAATCCAATTAGGAGATTTTTATATTGTTTTGCCAAAATTTAAGGGAAAAGATAACGTATAAAAATTAAAAAAATTAAAAAGAAGAATGATGGTACTAAGTAGGAGACCAACTAGAAGCAGTAACATCTCCTAGGCAGTATAATTGTCATATTTAGGAATGAGAATTATACACACAATTTTTTGATAGAAAATAATTTTTTACACTACAAGCAAAGGGGAGAAGGGAGCAGAGGAGGAGAATCAAACCTTCAACATGTCACCGAGCAGGGTCGTTTAGTAAGTTATCGGTCAAACTTCTCACTCTGAGGTTGAAGATTTGAGTCTTGAAGTCTACATTGAGCTCAGTGATTGACCGTTGTATTAGCCTAAATAGATTCATTTCAAAAAAGAGTAACGGATGCGGTTAGAGGTTCCACCCTTTTTTCAACATGCCGCTCTAATAGGGAGGACTTTAATCATTGGGTAGGACTTCGGTCCTCATACGCAAAAAAATGAATAATACTGTATTGTCAAAAGAATAAGCCAACAAATGATGTGACATTAATATAATAAGTAAAACTTGAATTTTCAATTTTATTATTATGTCTCAGGCCTAATTATCCAAATTTTTTTCAAATTGAGTGAAAAAAATGATTTTTTTTAATAGAATGTTTTATTTAGTAAAGTATCGGATATCATGTAATTAAATAATAACTAAGTCTCAATATTGAACTTCTATTTGCCTTGTGGTCAAATAATCATATAACAATCGCGAGTTAATTTAGATCGACCGAGTTTCACTTCAAAATAGGAGATTTAAAAATTAAATACGGTGAAAAAATCGCGAGTTAAATACCGTTGCCTTCCTCATAAATTTATTGTAAAGTTGAGTAATGTGAACAAGGGAATGATCACAGCATTACACTTCTTTATGTCAGTCTCTTTGTTATCGATCAAACTTTACGTCTATGGTTTTTTCCATCATGTCATCTGGTCCTTTCAATAACAACCACCCGGCCAACCGACCATCTTCTCATTTCGTCTCTTCCGGATAAATTGTACTAATAGAACCTTAAAATTTAAAATTTACCTTATTTTATTCCTCAAAATTTTAATTTTATTAATTTAGTTATTTGTGTTCACACATTCAGTTAATATGGTCCTTGACATCAAATATCGTCCATAAAAATGACGAAAAATATCACGTGTTTGACACATGAGAATACTGACAAGCATTTTTAATATTTTCTTAACAATTTGTGCATCCTAATAATATTATCCGTCATCTGAATTATATTAAACATGTACTAAACATACATCTTCTTTCTCTTTATTTTCTCTCAATCACAAGGCCATTTTTTCTCTGATTAACTATGGATCTTTCTCCACTCTAGGCAATTTGAGTCGATCTCTCTCCCTCTTAAATACACAATCTCTGTCTCACAAACAAATACAAAAACACAACACAGTCACAAAATACCTAATTTTTGCAAATTCCATAGGCAATCAAGCTCCAATTCATAGCATCGGTCTGAAATTATAGTGGTAGGGAACAAGTGTGGGGTTATAGGTCACGATGGAGAAGGAGGAGATATGGCTATGTTATGGGTTGGGTTGGTGGAGATGGTGTCAAGCGTATGAGATTTGCAATAGTGGTTTAGGTTAGGTTTTGTACTGTGTTTTGTGTGTGAAGCGCTGATAATATAAGAGAACCAAAGAAAGAAAGAGAGAGAGAGAGAAAGAGAAAGAACGGGAGATTGAGTAATTTAGAAGGTGAATGGTGGTGATGGTACCTAGCGGTTGAAAATAGATACCAGCGATGGAGTCTTGCAAATAGAGAGAAAGAGAAATTGGGTGGTCATTGGTATTGCTACCGACAATGTTATCAGAGGCTATTTTAGGTAAGGGTATTAGGGATGTCGATAATGGGGAGGGTAATACTATATTTTTTTCTTTTTGTGAGATTATTTTTCTTTTATCTTTTATGCCCAATGTTTTGAAAGTGCAATAACAAAAATGTATGTTAATACTCTCATGTGCCAAAGCGCATGATATTTTTCATCACTTTTTTGGATTGATATCAGACCAAAGTCTGATAGACGTTAAACTTTATGGGCCATTGATACAATTTATCCTATATTCATTTTTACTCATATGCCTGCTCGACATCATATTAATAAATAATTAAACAATAATTTCTTACACAAAATTCCGTCACTACGAATTTTAGAGAACAAATGAGAGTAAAAAGGATAAGAAATATCAAAGTTCTATGTCACATATTCTTCCACATGTCTTTACTTGAATCAACCATAATCCTAATATAATTTTTTTTATTTTTTCATCAATATCAAACAAAACTTAAAGGTCAAGGTTCCACTCAACCACAATAATGTGTAGGTGGGGTTTAGGAATTTATAGGTTTAAGATACAACAATTTTTTGTCCTCGTAGATTCAACCACCACTGCACCTGTGGCATATTTGGTATGCGTGTTTGAATAAGATTTAAAAGGTGTTTCGGGAAAAATAGTCTATGCACCTTCTAAATCCGTGTTTAATTCAATACATAAGGCTTGAAATTTATTGACTAAATGAATTATGTCCGTAGTGAATAATTGATTAAAACTCACAAATAGACATTTTGATGAGAGTAACGTTAGTAGTAATGTTAAAACTCTCAAAGAGGCCCATAAGATTTAAACCTCGATTGGTTCCTCATTGTATTATAAACTCGAATAAATTCTAAAATTTTGTGCTCAATGAGACTCAAACTAATAATTTATTAACAAGAATTCAAGTGCATAATCAAGTTGTTAAAGATTCTAGAACCAATTTTTTTTTCTTTTTTCTTTTTAAATGAACTAATTTATGGTCACCTAATTATTCATAATCATTAAATTAGAAGTGAGATCCAATTAATTACTTATGATGAATTAAGTCAATAAATTATATCAATAATTAGGTTCGATATCTATACTAATAAGATAAAATCGATTTTGAATCCCTAAATTAACTTATTGCAAGAGTGATCTAGATTCATAATCTAACGGTAAAAAATTAGCCCCCAAAAAATTATCCCCCAAACTTGAAAATTCTAATAAGTCTATGCATTTTTCACATTAATTAATGCTCCGTTTAGTAGGAAGGATGTAAAAGTAGGAGGAATATACTTTCTATTATTAAAGAAAGGAAAATTAGAAATGATACACTTGTCTTCTTTTGTGTTTGATTGAATGGATGGAAAAAAAATGACTAATTTTTTTTTTTTGGGTAGGATTAGGGGTGACAATCGAATTGTATCGTGTCAGATTTGTATTGAGTCATTACTGATTTGTGTTGAACATTAGTCACACCTAACTTAACTCATTTAACTAATTGTGTTATATCGAGTTACGAGTTGACATTTTATTTTCGTGTCGTATTTGAGTTAATTAAGTTTGTATCATAAAATTTGTGTATAGTTGGAGTAATGTAAATTGTGTTGAATCAAAAATTTTTACCCTGAGGTAAGATGGGAAAAATATTTTTTTAATTTAAATTTTAAAATTTAAAATTTATTTTTTTTAATTTTTTAAATATACATATATTCATATTTTATCGTTATATTCTTATATGAAATTAATGTGTGAATATATATATATATATCTCAATACAAATAATTAACTTTTCATCAACTTTCCTTTCGATTTTGGAGGGATTGATTTTAGTGAGTTAGAAGAAAAATTAATACATCACCTTTTTCATCATTTATATTTTATTTATTTATTAAACATAATATTTTATTTATTTCTTTAACTTTTTATCTTTTTACGTTTTTTAACATACAAAGNCATATTTTATCGTTATATTCTTATATGAAATTAATGTGTGAATATATATATATATATATCTCAATGCAAATAATTAACTTTTCATCAATTTTCCTTCCGTTTTTGGAGGGATTGATTTTAGTGAATTAGAAGAAAAATTAATACATCACATTTTTCATCATTTATATTTTATTTATTTATTAAACACAAGATTTTATTTATTTCTTTAACTTTTTATCTTTTTACGTTTTTTAACATACAAAGCAGAGCATAAGATAATATTAGGTATTCTCTCTTATCTATATCTTCCCTCTATTAGGACGTTGAATGATTTATTTTTTAGTCCTAGAATTCTAAGGTAGACTTACTGAATTTTTGATAAAATATAATTTTTTTAATTATAAATATGATAATTAGTAGTACTTGGATAATCATGTTTCATGTTTGCTTTCACAATATGGGCATTTATAGTGTGACATGAAGGTGCCAAATGCCATTCCTAACTACCCTTAGGATCCATAACATGGCTCGCTCTGATTGGACCTTGAAAGTCATTCTCCAAGTACGACATGTCATCTGATACCTTACCCAAGGACTATCTAGTCATTTCAATTTCCTATAAAGAGAGAGAGAGAGAGAGAGAGACGAAGAGAGAGAAAGAGCAGGCAGAGAGCGACAGAGAGAGAGAGCGAGAAGAGAGAACCAGAGAGAGGAGAGAGAAAGAGAGAGAGAGCTTGTACCGTTTATTTTGTGTTATTATGTGAACGAGTGAGAGGTCAAGTGAGAATGGTGTCGGACCAGGACATAGCCGAGGGTTTGGAGTCTCTTCTTCGCGAGTCGAACCCTAACAACAGCCTAAACTCCCTACACGCCGTTGTTCAGCAGCTTCAATCCAAACTAGGGTTAGACCTCACTCACAAAATCGACTTCATTCGAACCCAGATCCACCTTCTCCTCCGACCTCAACCACCACCACCACAGTTCCTCCAGCCTCCGAAAGACCATTTTGCCCTCCACCAGAACCCTAATTTCCACCCTGCTCCTCCTTCCCAAGTCTCTCCCAATTTCACCGTCCGTCGTCCCGAGGATTTCGGTTTCCGACCGCCGCAGCCACCGCCGGCCATAAAATCGGAGGCATTAGCTACTCCTGTCGCCACCACTGCTGCCGCCGCCGTGACCTCTGACGTTGATGCTCCTGAAGCCCCAAAAGAAAGGTATGTTTTTTTTCTAAACAGTCTGGTTGGTTGGTGAGAAAATGTGGAAATAAAAGAAATGATTTTTTGCCTTTGCGTCTCAGACATTTTCTCACCAACCAAAGGGGTGGATAATCTTAAATTTTGCAACTGCTCGTTGTAGTTGAATGGTGTCGTTGTTCTTGGTTTGAAGAAGTTAATTGTTTATTACGTATATGCCGTGTAAGTGAGACATTGCTTGTGGGCTGTGTCGGGGCTGAAGAGGTTTTTCCGAGGGTTTGCTTTGTTTTATAGGATTATCTCATTTCTGGGTTAGATGTGATGTTTGTTGGATCCAAATTGTTTCATTGCATGTGTGAGCAGATTCTTGTTTTTACTGGATTTCAAAACGCAGAAAAGGTTATATATCACCTTTTTTTTGCAATAAATTTATTAAAATCAGTCATCAACAATGATAACCCACTTGCCACTTTTTACTCATTTAGAAATTTAGAAACCTGTCCTCCCTATCCGTCTCTTATTCACACTTTCAAATCAATAAAGATCAACGACCTAAAATAATTGCCAAATTTATACCTCCAACAACATTACATAAGTACTAACAGATCCGAGTATACTTAACACTGCATGTTGTCATTTACCCTCTTGTCCTATGTTGGATTGAACAACGTTGATATCGTCACCGAAGAGAAGGTTAACCCTTTTACACTTGGAAAGTTTCATTCTGACGCATTGTGTTACCATCCTTTCATGCCTCCCATGAAGGCCAAAATTTTCTTATGATCATGCAATACCAAGTACTGGGGCTGGAAAAAAAAAAAGACAAATGAAAGAAAATGTTTCTCAAATTCTTGACCGAAAGCCAAGCAAACATCACAAAATGAACATGGCCAAGGTTATTGATGATACAATCTCCAATTTTTCGAATATGTCAATTAAAAAAATGCCATTTTCCGATAGTGCTAAACAACTTTGTTCTTATAAACATTGAGCCAGCTGAAGGCTGATGATCTAAGAAACACTGGGAGGGCATTTAGAGAGCCATGAAAATGAATTTGTTATGTGCATATTTTAATATATTTTTGAAGTAATATTAGATGTAGTTATAGAATGTTATTAGTGACTGGGTTAGTGATAATTTTTGTGTGTAGTTTTTTAGGTGATGACTTAGAAAGTGGGTTATCTTTTTGGTTAGTTATACTTTGTATTTAAAGATCTCATTATTAATGAAATTGCTATGCGGAATTTGAGATTAACTTTCTTGCGAAAGGTTTGGAGGCTCAGTTCTTCTCGAAGTGAACCATCGAGTTTTCTTCCCCTCGGAATTTTTTTCATCTACTTTTTTATTTTCCGAAAAAGGTGTACACTTAACAATTGGTATCAGAGCCAATGATCTAGCAAATGATTACATTATTGGAGATTTTGAGATCAATGCATGATGATTTTCAAAAAGCGTTAAACAAATTGATCGAGGAAAATCAACGCAAGCTAGAAATATTCAACAAACTTAAGAATTTTTTTTCAAGAAGACAGTGTTATTGTCAACCCGTATTATAGATCAATTGGTCATGGAGATTGTAGCTTTGTGGATTTGAAGGAATCAGGAATTATTAGTAAGACAACAAGGGAAGTGATTGTTAATGCTGCAACGAAAAGGAATAAAGTGGATTCGGTGATACATCCATTGGCAAACATTGGGATGAATTGTACCAAGGCCATTTTAACACAAACAAATGGTGCGATTAAATCCTACTTGACCACCGGAGAGCCATGGCAGCATACAGTGAAGAATCAAATGGCCAGTGTTGATCATGTTGAGTGTTACAATGACATAGAAGTTGGATGGCCACCTTCGTTTTTCTACACAACAAATCAAACTTTTGGGGCAACGTTTTTTTAAAGGGTGATGGAATTTTATGTCCATAGTTTTAATATATTTTTTAAGTAATATTAGATGTAGTTAGAGGAAGTTATTAGTGAGTGGGTTAGTGAGGTTAGTGATAGAGTCTTTGTAGGTAGTTTTTAGGTGGTTACTTAGGAAGTGGAGGTATAGATTGTGTTAGTTATCTTTTTAGTTAGTTATATTTTGTATTTAAAAATCTCATTATCAATGAAATGACTGGAATATGAGATAAACTTTCTTGTGAAAGGTTTAGAGGTTCGGTTCTCCTCGAAGTGAACCATCGAAGGTTTCCACCCCCCTTGAAGCGGGACTTCTTCCCCTCAATTTTCTTTTCATTTAGTTTTCTATTTTCCGAAAAAGTGTGCATGCAATAGAATTATTCAATTTTTTCTTGTCACGTTAATAAGTGTGGTAGGCCATTTGACATGTCATATGTATTGAGTGTAAGCTTCTTTCGTACTAGGGAAGAGAGGCAGAGCTATTGTACATGGAAATGCATCTGAAATTTACATCATCTTTTCTCCAAGTCTCAGTAGCAGGCATCACTTTGAATTGGACTGGGTAGTGAAATTCCTTAAATCCTCCATTGCTAATTTTTGCATGCCTTGAAAATCTCATCAATACTCCTTTTCATCCTCGCATGACCTAAGATATGATATATGCTGCATAACTTCCCTAAAAATTAGTCAGTTGTCATGCCAACTCTTCACACCCCCTCTTAATTTTGTCTTACTCTTCGAAACTTCCCAAAAATTATACATTTTCATTGTGATAGTGGAATAAATAATTGATTCGTGACCTGATTTGATTTTTATACCATCTTTGTGCAGTGCTCAACCTGGAAAAAAGAGAAGAGGTGGTCCAGGTGGCCTAAACAAGCTCTGTGGTGTTTCTCCTGAACTTCAGACCATTGTTGGCCAGCCGGCATTACCAAGGACTGAGGTTTGGATTCAGATATACTTTGGTGATAGTTTGATGTGCCATTTTCTGTGTAGTTTCTGCTAAGATGGTCCATCTGGTTCAGATTGTGAAGCAGCTGTGGGCATACATAAGGAAAAACAACCTTCAAGACCCAAGCAACAAAAGGAAGATAATTTGCAATGATGAGCTGCGTTTGGTATTTGAGACAGATTGTACAGACATGTTCAAGATGAATAAGCTGCTAGCTAAACATATTATTCCTCTGGAACCTACAAGTATATATCTGATTGAATATTGTTTTTTTCTTTTCTTTTTCTTTATGATGAATTTGATGCATAACTTGGTTTAAAAAATCTTGCAGAGCAGACTGGTCAAAATTCTAAGAAATTGAAGGTAGAAGCTGAATCTGGTAGTAGAAGTACTGAATCTGTTCCGATTGTGATAATGTCCGAAGCACTTGCCAATTTCTTTGGTACCAGTGAAAGGGAGCTGTCGCAACCCGAGGTTTTAAGACGTGTCTGGGAATACATAAAGGTCAATCAACTTGAGGTTTGTAACTAAATGAATGGGTTTTTCCCACATTTTCTTTATGACATAGTTGTCTTGACATTGTAATTTTTGGCATGTTTGCCAAAAAATAAGATCGATCTCAAGAAATATGTTCCTCTTCATTTAGCCTTTGACTAAATATTTTCTTCGTTGGAAGGTATTTCATCTGGAGCTTCGTTTGATAACTTCATTGATTTTGTGAAGCTTGGTATCGTCTGAGAAAGAGTTGTTTACAAATTGTGTCAGTAAGAAAATGTTGGGTGGTTACATTTCTAAGCACTCGGTGCCCTTATTAGACTGCCCTTGGTAAATCAGATACATAAGCTTTTAGGTTTCCTTAAAGTCAATCTTTATGCAAAGGTGTTCTTATTAGTTTTTCAAATGCTAGGATGCTTTGATAGCGAAGTTAAGCACAAGGTTGAGAGTGAGTAATCAGTCAGAGAACTTACTAGAGTGTACGCTCTAAAATGTATTTTTTGCATGTTTTCTTTATTACATAGTCGTCTTGACATCGTAATTTTTTGCATGTTTGCCAAAAAATAAGATTGATCTCAAGAAATATGTTCCCCTTCTTTTAGCCTTTGACTAGATATTTTCTTTGTCGGAAGGTATTTCATCTGGAGCTTGGTTTGATATCTTCATTGATGTTCTGAGCTGCCCTTTCCTTAAATTGATTTGGTGAAGCTTGGTATCATCCGAGAAAGAGTTGTTTACTACTTGTGTCAGTAAGAAAACGTTGCGTGGTTACATTTCTAACACTCGGTGCCCTTATCAGAGTGCCTTTACTAAATCTGATGCATAAGCTGTTAGGTTTACTTTGTTAATCTTTATGAAGAGATGTTTTTATCAGTTTTTCAAAATCTAGGATGCTTTGAAAGCAAAGTTAAGCACAAGGTTGGGAGTGGTGGAGCATCTAATGAGCAATCAGTGCGGACAACTTACTAGAGTGTACACTCTAAAAATGTATTCTGTTTTTTTACTTTCTCAATTATACTATTGATCTTTATATTGGGAACCTACCTGCAAGCTTCTTGCATTTTCTGAATGTTGATTGTGAGATTTGTCAGGCTATGGTTGAAATATAACCTGTCTCTCTTTTTTTCCTATATTAGGATCCATTGAATGCGATGGTGATAGTATGTGATGCGAAGCTTCAAGAGCTTTTTGGGTGTGAAAGCATTTCTGCTTTAGGGATATCTGAGATGTTGGCACGCCACCATCTATATAAGAGATCATGAAAGCTGATCTTGTTCACCGGTTAGTTGCTTATACATTTGACATAGCTTTCTTGACATACTGTTTGCAGGATAACTTCAGTTTATTCTAGTGTGCTTTTTTCTCAAGCCCATGTTTCTGATGTATGACTTGTGTTCATGGACATAAATGATTGGAACCAAGGATATCAAAGATTACTTTGTTTCCTGTCGTGTGATCTTAGGTCAAACACATTTAGTCGATGAATTACTGAATTTTGATTAAAGGCAGGAGACCTCTTTGCTTTGTTCCAGTTTTTAGATTTATTTCCTCTTCATCTATTTCTCTTTATTTACAGTTGACCAGAACATGTATTAGTTTGTTTAACTTTAGATGAACCCTGTTTAGTGGGCTTTTCAATTTTGAGATGCCTTTAGTATGTATGAAAACCGTGCATTTTAGTAAACCATTAAAACAAAACGCAAATCATTCATCTCTTTTTGAGGTCACCAATTCTCCATAACTTTCAGTGAAAGTGATTGTGGACTAGAATTATTCGTGATGCTCAAGTATTACATGCATACATTGTCACAAAACATTAATGGAATATGTCATTGGTTGCAGATGCAGGTGTTAATGCTAACCTACGTTGTTCTGACATTCTCTCCATGATTTTCCTGAAAAAAGTTCATTCGGCTTTCTGCTTCAGTTAGGTTCCATGTTCTGTAGTAAAGTGACTCAAAGTTATGGATAGAGTGAAAATGTACCTTTTGTTAAAGCCATGCTATATATTGTTGATGGCCATGATCCTGGTGTGATTATTTTTTGTTTGCATTTTAGGCTACACTTATCTGTTGGGAGTTTCTGACATTTGTAAAAATGCAGACAATAGGAAAACTGAAAATGTATGAGATTATGTAAACCTTTTTTCTCTGATTATGACATGTGTTATTAGCTTGAGATCAAAAGATAAGCACTTTATTCGTTGTAAATGCTCTGTTCTAAGGGTACTGTTGTATTCATTTGCACCAAGATGGTTTCTTTATGCCCACAAAGAGTTTCACTGAATGAAATATATACAAACTTTCCAAGGTCGAAAATCTACTAAAGCAGGCTTTTTATACTTCTTTTTCTTATATGTTTGTGCTTTAGAAAGTGTGTACTGTGTACATAGGCCATTTGTCTGTTTCTGTACAAAAACACCTGATTTTGAGACATTTTGTGGAAAATTTCTTCCCACTTTCGATGAAGTAAACCAGCTAATATGTGTGTAGCAGTGATATTTAACTTCTGGATAAAATGTCAAGGGAACTTTTGAGTCTTCACCATCCCAGGGAAAAAAACTGTGAATTGCAGAGAGGTAATTCTTGTAAATAAGATTTGCCTGGTTCAATCAAATCGTGGAAGAACTGGGGCTCGAGAGAGGTCCCGTAATTGAAAGACAGCATTTCAGGCCCATAGTTGTATTCAATAAGTTGGGTAACTCAATTTCAATCTTTTAGGTTAAGATGACTTTTTACTGGAAAAGTGATGTCNGTATTCAATAAGTTGGGTAACTCAATTTCAATCTTTTAGGTTAAGATGACTTTTTACCGGAAAAGTGATGTCAAGAGTCGTGCTAACTGGAAACGTAGCAAGTCAGTAAAGAATGAGTTTCTCTCAGACTTTACTCAAGAAGAAAACTCCTATGTGCTCTTTTCGGTTAGTGAAGTGTTTCATGGTATTGGAGCATGAACGGGGAGGTGGTAGTGTGATGTTCATTTTGGGGTAAATGGTTTGCTTTCTGCAATAGGGAGTGTTGAAAATGGTAACGGATGAAGGTGATTGAAGATAGTTGGGCGTGCAATGAGGTTTGTTGAGATAATTTGAATGACATTTGTGAGGTGCAGAAGTGAAAAGCATACGTACATGCCCATTGGAGCTCCGTGAATTTAAATTTAATTTATTATTTAAAAATTAAAAATTTATAATTTATTACACGAGATTTTAGAGTATGGTTGATGCAAGTTTATTGGGATGTATGTTGTGAGACTAAAAAGTGAAGAGTGCTACTTGTAAATTGATAACAAAGTCAGAGGCACAAGGCAACTATTTCCAAATTAGAAAAAAGCTTAAATGTTGCAGCAGGGCCAAGGAATGGGTCGGGTTTATTTGGGCAGCAAANTAACAAAGTCAGAGGCACAAGGCAACTATTTCCAAATTAGAAAAAAGCTTAAATGTTGCAGCAGGGCCAAGGAATGGGTCGGGTTTATTTGGGCAGCAAATTTGACTAGGGTTGGGTTGTACTGGAGGGGTGCCAGGTAGGAGTTTAACTCGGATAGATTGGACGAGTTGAAAGGTCTATTTTAACTCTACATAAGGTATATAATTTTTAATCTTAATATTAAAATAACATGATCTTAAAATAAAATGTTTCGAAAAATGTTTATAATAACTTGAAAATAGAAGTGATCTTATTTTACATTTTTTTTGACTAAACTAATTATAATCCACTACTTATAATAGACGATCTATTATCAATGAAAATTGAGAAAAAAAATTATATTAAAGCCCAAAATATGGATGCATTGAGTGGATAAATTTTTTATCTACATTTATCAAATAAAANAGGTTCAACTTTTTTAATTTTATGTATGCTGTGTACCGTTACTCTTTTGAGATTAAGAGACACCTTTTGAAGGAGGAGTTATAACTAATTCATGATCGATCAAAATATTTCATGAAGTTACCTCAAATAATTATAAATTCATCTTAAAAGGTGTAACTTGATTTCAAAAAAAAAACAACTTTTGATATTTTAAATATCGATTTTTATTCTACGTTGTTTTGTGAACCTAAAATTTGTTCTTCAATTATAAGTTCTAATGATGCATGATTGCTGTTATGAACACTTACGATTCTAGGGAGTCGTGCCCTCCTCAATTTTTTCAAAAAATAAAGAAATTTATATATAGGCTAAAACAATAAATTAGATTTTTAAGAATTTGTTATCTCTCCATTTTGTTTTTTTGTTTTTAACTGTCAAAGATGTCTAGATCAACTTATATGCACTACAATTAATTCTTTCCTCAGTTCAATTAATAATAAACCATTTACGCCGAGATTAATACATTTATGAGAGGTATTCAATTTTGCTTTTTCTGCATAGACATTTGATTTCTCCCATTTTATGTTTGTGTCTTTGTATGTGATACTTGCTGCCTACATGCATTCATGGTTTTCTCATGATTATTTGATAAAGTTATTATTTAAAATTGATGATAATTTGATAAATTGATTTGAAATATTTTTCATGTATTTTTTCAAAGTCTTGAGTTAATTCTATTTAATTTTTTAATAGGGTTTATATAACTAATTAAAACATCAACATTAACCATAAATTGTTGAAATAACCAAAAATAAAAAAATAAAATAAAGAAGGGTCATAGTTAACCATTTCCTCACCTAAATCAATTATAGTTTTTCATTTGCAATGTGTAATGTAATTTTTAACAATTGACTTATAGTTTTGATCTAATGATATTTTTTTATCTTGTACAAATTTTGCCTTCCTTGAGATCAAACGTTCAAGTTCCTTGGATAACAAAAAATGTGATTTGTATCAATTGCTTAAACAAACTATATCCAAATCTTTGATATGAATTTAAATCCCCTCTGAAGCAGAAGTCTTAATTTAACTAGTATATGACTTGGGGGATTGAGCAATATAAGCGCGTCGAACTCACAAGTCTGAGCAACATAAACACGTCTTTATTCACCTAGGACATACGAGATTTCTCCTACTACTCAAAAAACCTTAACCTTCAAAAATTATATTTTTATGATCTCCCAATTTAAGATCAATTAAAATTTCTTGAATCATAACTTAGATCATTTTAAGTTGCAATTGAAACCGTTTTAAATTGTAACATCACCTCTAAATATTACAATACCGTAGTCATAGGAGATTATTATCCCTATCCCCCTATTGAATGGTGAGAGACCGACCACGCGGACTCAACCCTCGGTGGTTTATATTATGTCCACTTTGCATTTTGCAAATGCTAAACAGCATTTAACAAAACCTGTCAATCGCATTGCAACACCCTTGGACGGGACCAAAAAAACAGTGTCGGTACATATCTACATCTCATAAACAATAGTATTAAACTCCCCTCAAAAAAAAAAAAAAGTATCAAACTCTCTGCATTTGAGAAACAAAAGGTTATCAATCTTAGAACTCTGCAATAAACACAAATGACTAGTATTAAAAAAGCAGAATAAGCAGGGAAAACAGGGACGTGCACGAAGTAATCAAACATTAACTTGTAGACTAGATCTTCCTGCAGGCAGAGGCACCAGATATTAACACTAGGCACCATTTTTACGCAATGTGGCCAGTTATGGAAACAATCATGGTTCATCATGTAATGGACTCCAGTCAAGTAATGAATTCTAGACATGAAAAGTATGGTTGGAGGGAACAGTACCTAATTGATTTCATTCAAAGAAGTTTTACTTTTTGGTAGGTCAAAATTGCCAAGAAAAAAGAACTTATGGAATAATTGAATAATATGATCATTTCTTGCATGGTTAGTCTTGTGGACAACACCCAACAGATGGTGTGCTTGATCCAAAATAGCATGAGAGCCATTTAGACCGGCTGCCTATAAGGGACCACATGCTTGCTACCAGAGCAAAGCTTTTAGTAGCCTGTAAACTAAAACCATTGCAAACAATTACCGTAGTACTTCCTAATGGAAGATCTATCACACAAGACAAGGTCCAAGGATCGTGAATAACTACGCCGCTAGATAGCTTTAAAGGCTCAGCAACTAGTTTTCATGCATCATAAATTGTATTATCCACAAGAATCAGTTTGAGAAGGAGTCACTTTGGCACCTCTTTCAGCCAAATAGGTGCAAGGCTTGAAAAATCCTCCGTAAATATTTCACCACTCATTCAATCTTGAATAATTGTAATTCAACCCAATAGAATCCACCCAGAACATAAGCCCTCCCCTGTTTCAAAGAGTATCAAATATATTCGAGATTGAATATATTATGAGATTTGGAGGAAATGCCTCCAACTGGATGTAACGACAAACCTGCAAGGTGGGGAGCAGAAATGTCCAGATCAGCTGCTTTGACTGCTATNGATCGATCAAAATATTTCATGAAGTTACCTCAAATAATTATAAATTCATCTTAAAATGTGTAACTTGATTTCAAAAAAGAAACAACTTTTGATATTTTAAATATCGATTTTTTNATAAATTCATCTTAAAATGTGTAACTTGATTTCAAAAAAGAAACAACTTTTGATATTTTAAATATCGATTTTTTTTCTACGTTGTTTTGTGAACCTAAAATTTGTTCTTCAATTATAAGTTCTAATGATGCATGATTGCTGTTATGAACACTTACGATTCTAGGGAGTCGTGCCCTCCTCAATTTTTTCAAAAAATAATGAAATTTATATATAGGCTAAAACAATAAATTAGATTTTTAAGAATTTGTTATCTCTCCATTTTGTTTTTATGTTTTTAACTGTCAAAGATGTCTAGATCAACTTATATGCACTACAATTAATTCTTTCCTCAGTTCAATTAATAATAAACCATCTACACTGAGATTAATACATTTATGAGAGGTATTCAATTTTGCTTTTTTTGCATAGACATTTGATTTCTCCCATTTTATGTTTGTGTCTTTGTATGTGATACTTGCTGCCTACATGCATTCATGATTTTCTCATGATTATTTGATAAAGTTATTATTTAAAATTGATGATAATTTGATAAATTGATTTGAAATATTTTTCATGTATTTTTTCAAAGTCTTGAGTTAATTCTATTTAATTTTTTAATAGGGTTTATATAACTAATTAAAACATCAACATTAACCATAAATTGTTGAAATAACCAAAAATAAAAAAATAAAATAAAGAAGGGTCATAGTTAACCATTTCCTCACCTAAATCAATTATAGTTTTTCATTTGCAATGTGTAATGTAATTTTTAACAATTGACTTATAGTTTTGATCTAATGATATTTTTTTATCTTGTACAAATTTTGCCTTCCTTGAGTTCCTTGGATGACAAAAAATGTGATTTGTATCAATTGCTTAAACAAATTATATCCAAATCTTTGGTATGAATTCAAATCCCCTCTGAAGTAAAAGTCTTAATTTAACTAGTATATGACTTGGGGGATTGAGCAATATAAGCGCGTCGAACTCACAAGCCTGAGCAACATAAACACATCTTTATTCACCTAGGACAGACAAGAGATTTCTCCTACTACTCAAAAAACCTTAACCTTCAAAAATTATATTTTTATGATCTCCCAATTTAAGATCAATTAAAATTTCTTGAATCATAACTTAGATCATTTTAAGTTGCAATTGAAACCGTTTTAAATTGTAACATCACCTCTAAATATTACAATACCGTAGTCATAGGAGATTATTATCCCTATCCCCCTATTGAATGGTGAGAGACCGACCACGCGGACTCAACCCTCGGTGGTTTATATTATGTCCACTTTGCATTTTGCAAATGCTAAACAGCATTTAACAAAACCTGTCAATCGCATTGCAACACCCTTGGACGGGACCAAAAAAACAGAGAAAAAAGAAGACAATTACAGAAGTGTGAGGTTGCTACAAATTATTGTACTCTTCAGTTCTGCTAGCCGATAACATTGTCGGTACATATCTACATCTCATAAACAATAGTATTAAACTCCCCTCAAAAAAAAAAAAGTATTAAACTCTCTGCATTTGAGAAACAAAAGGTTATCAATCTTAGAACTCTGCAATAAACACAAATGACTAGTATTAAAAAAGCAGAATAAGCAGGGAAAACAGGGACGTGCACGAAGTAATCAAACATTAACTTGTAGACTAGATCTTCCTGCAGGCAGAGGCACCAGATATTAACACTAGGCACCATTTTTACGCAATGTGGCCAGTTATGGAAACAATCATGGTTCATCATGTAATGGACTCCAGTCAAGTAATGAATTCTAGACATGAAAAGTATGGTTGGAGGGAACAGTACCTAATTGATTTCATTCAAAGAAGTTTTACTTTTTGGTAGGTCAAAATTGCCAAGAAAAAAGAACTTATGGAATAATTGAATAATATGATCATTTCTTGCATGGTTAGTCTTGTGGACAACACCCAACAGATGGTGTGCTTGATCCAAAATAGCATGAGAGCCATTTAGACCGGCTGCCTATAAGGGACCACATGCTTGCTACCAGAGCAAAGCTTTTAGTAGCCTGTAAACTAAAACCATTGCAAACAATTACCGTAGTACTTCCTAATGGAAGATCTATCACACAAGACAAGGTCCAAGGATCGTGAATAACTACGCCGCTAGATAGCTTTAAAGGCTCAGCAACTAGTTTTCATGCATCATAAATTGTATTATCCACAAGAATCAGTTTGAGAAGGAGTCACTTTGGCACCTCTTTCAGCCAAATAGGTGCAAGGCTTGAAAAATCCTCCGTAAATATTTCACCACTCATTCAATCTTGAATAATTGTAATTCAACCCAATAGAATCCACCCAGAACATAAGCCCTCCCCTGTTTCAAAGAGTATCAAATATATTCGAGATTGAATATATTATGAGATTTGGAGGAAATGCCTCCAACTGGATGTAACGACAAACCTGCAAGGTGGGGAGCAGAAATGTCCAGATCAGCTGCTTTGACTGCTATACCTCAAGCAAATACTTGGCAGGCCTCATTCACCACATGGAAGAATACCATCTCGACGATGTCCTCCTCTGATAATTTTGTCAACTGAGTCAAGTTCAATCCCACAATTTAGAGAAAGGGGGAGGGAGAATTTGTAACTATCACATAGGGGAGTTATATATAATATATCATTGCATTCCTTGCCAAAGTAACACAAGTGTAACACCACTCCAAACTCCCCCAGAAATTCCCCCTGCCTTGTCAATTTATTTTTACTCTGTAGATCTGGGCCAGCCTTGTGTTTATCATCATAGACATAGGATCCTTTGCGATCAGTTTCACCTAAGCAAGCACATTGCTTGTTTAAGAAACTTTTCAAGATTTAAGCTGAAAGTTAGACAAATAAAGCAAGAGGTTTATGTTTAACAACTGCACTCTTGAGGTTTGAAACACCCCCAAAAATATAGCCGCTCTCTTATCCTCTTGCATAATTGGGATTGGTATCAATTTATTGGTTCTTTCACGGAAATTATAAGTCCCCAAGTAACAATTGCAACACCAAAACCAATAAGGGCACACAATCTGCATGTAAACAGGGAAAAGGAAAATATATGAAGCCAGTTTCAGTAGCTACAATGGGATCAAATACATACAATGATGTTGCAACATATTGACTACCTGAATGAGCCCATTGGCATTCCAAATTTGGTAACTGCCTTGTCAATCGTATTAGTACCGTGTTCTACAAGCAAAATAGCAGCTTGAGAGTAAGGGAAGAACATATTGTTTACAGCAAACCCAGTGCAATTCCCAACCATCAATGGTGTTTTCTTTATTTTCTTCCCAACATCCAGCAAGTCAACAACTGCTTGGGAAGACGTCTTTTGCATACGTACAATTTACAAAAGAGGCATGACATGACTGCTGTACAACAGATACCTGAAAATATGGGCTCTGATAATCCAGTCATGAGACTCGGTCCTCTCACCTATAAGTTTTTTTTGGCTTTAATGAAACATTCTGAATGACAGCTTGCTCGAAATATTAGAAAAAGTAAGACTTTAGAGGGGAAAAAAGGAGAAAAAAAATCATTACATGTTGAGATATATTAAGTTGTGTTCNTTAATGAAACATTCTGAATGACAGCTTGCTCGAAATATTAGAAAAAGTAAGACTTTATAGGGGAAAAAAGGAGAAAAAAAATCATTACATGTTGAGATATATTAAGTTGTGTTTCTGTAATACCTCTATGACAATGTCCACATATCTAAAGCTTTCATAGTCAAGAACACCAGCAAGCAGATATTTTTTATTTTTTTTTTCCAGATTTCTCTCAAGTCATCTTCATTCTTCCCTTTCTTGACGCAGCTTTGCAAATTGACAGAGTCAAAGGAACATTAGTAAGNTATCTAAAGCTTTCATAGTCAAGAACACCAGCAAGCAGATATTTTTTATTTTTTTTTTCCAGATTTCTCTCGAGTCATCTTCATTCTTCCCTTTCTTGACGCAGCTTTGCAAATTGACAGAGTCAAAGGAACATTAGTAATAAACCATGTCGTAAGATACTCAAGTAGAAGACATAATATTAACCAATCTGACCCCACCTCTAACTCTACAAATCCAAGCCAGTAGAAACTTCTCAATTACTGTCTTTCAATAGTACATGATCATTACTATCCTTCACTGAGAATAAAGACCTAATTTTTTGGCCTTAGTACCAAATCTAGATCGATAACACCAATAACCTATTTGCAGTGTTGAGATGAAAAGAGTAAACAGAATTAATCAAAGTAGTTGTAGTTTCGCTTAAAGTGGATTTATGAGCAACTTAGACATGACCATTTAGTTGAACTTCTAGTTGAAAACTCACCGATTCTTTCTATTAATTCCATAAGATCAAGTTTCTAACTCAAGTGACTCTAAACAAGTCATATAACCCCATCACGAAGATCATAAAAAATAAATATTTGACTAGAATTGATACACATTTTTTGACAACCGATATATATAACACAATCACGACTAAGTTGATGTTTTCCGATGAATTAGTAAGAGTCAAGTACGGAAGAGGATATTAATTCTTGAAGTGTCACAAACTAATTTCAGAAAAAGAACAACACTGAGAAGATAAACAAGATTATTGAGAAGAAGAAAAAGAAGGATATTGAGTTGAAGAACAACTAAAAGAATAAGAATATTGAGAAGAAAATGAACACTGAGGAGGAGGAGGAGGAGCAGAAGAAGAAGAAGAAGAAGAAGAAGAAAAAGTAAAAAAGAACACTTGGAAGAAGAAGAAAAAGAAGAATAAAACAATAATGAGAAAGTACTAAACAATATTGAGAACAAGAACACACAGATAATAAAAGAAGATACTAGAAAAAGAAGAGATAAAAGTATAACACTGAGAATATGAAGTAGAAGAAGAATACCGAGAAAAAGAAGAGAAGAATATTGCGAATAAGAAAAACACTAATAAGAAGAATACTTCAATCCTGGGCAAAAACTGAAGAAGAAGTAGAAGAACAAGACTTAAAAGAAGTATGATACGTAGATGAACAACCAAAAGAATACTAAGAAGAGTAAGAAGAAGAACAAGAGGTACATTGAGAAGAAGAAGAAAAATACGAAAACTAAGAAGAAGAAGAAAAAGATAAATACTGAGAAGAAGAAGAAGAAGAAAAAGACGAAGAAGAAAAAGACGAAGAAGATGTAGAAAAACAATACTAAGAGAAGAAGATTATTGAGAACAAGAACAATATGAAGAAAAAAGAAGAATACCAAAGGATCCTAAAATAATTATAGAAGAATATTGAAAATAAGAAAAAACAATACTGAGACTAAAAAGAAAAAGATGAATACAAAGAAAAAAGCTAAGAAGAATACTTGAAAAAAGAAGAAAACTATTGAGAAGAAGAAAGATAAGGGCGAATAAAGAGAAGAAAGTTAGAAAGAGAAAAAGAATACTAAGAAGTAGAAGAAGAAGAATGTTGAATAGAAAATAAATAAAGAAGACAATTAATAATAATAATAATAACAATAATGACAATATTCAGTATAAACATTGTATTTAAATGTGCTAGAAGCAATAGGAATGAAAAAATATATATTATATACGCCCAAGAAAGTTCACATGTCTAGATGCATACAATTTTTTTGCAATAGAGCCATAACAGTGATACATCCTCACCATAACGAAGAAAAACATACATAGTAAAACAAGCAGACAACTTATTTCGTTTAACTTTAGCAAGAAGAGAAAAACAAGTACAACAAAGACACCCAATGAGAAATAGTTGGTTGGTTTACCATATAACCGTTTAAAAGGAGAAACATTCAAAATAATAATAAAAACAATTCAATTAATGAGATGAATAACTGTGAGAACTACCTTCCCCCCAAAAGAGCTGGGAACAACGTAGATAAAAGTAATGAACAAACAGTCTCCTTAACGTGTCTGTGTTTTTGCTCAGCCACATGTCAGAACAAGAAGATTGTTGATAATTCCATTAGATTTACCAATGGGCCTTTGGTCCAATGATACTCCTTATCTTATAAAGGTTTTGCTTTCTTGGGGTCAAANGTGTTTTTGCTCAGCCACATGTCAGAACAAGAAGATTGTTGATAATTCCATTAGATTACCAATGGGCCTTTGGTCCAATGATACTCCTTATCTTATAAAGGTTTTGCTTTCTTGGGGTCAAAGGATCAAATCTCTCTCCCCCTTCAATAAATCAAAAAACTCAGTATATCTATACTCCCCCATCCAAATCACTCTGAAAACAAATAGGTAACAGACTTGGCCATTAACCACGCAAGGTTTGGCTCTAATACCAAGTTAATCTAGATCCAACTATGCAAATAACAAAAATACATGTAGATAAGAAAAAGAGAATAAAATATTACGCTACATTAATATTCTGTAATTGTAATAACTAGTTACCAAGATATATTATATTTACAACCCTACTTTAAGAAAAAGATAAAANGCTCTAATACCAAGTTAATCTAGATCCAACTATGCAAATAACAAAAATACATGTAGAAAAGAAAAAGAGAATAAAATATTACGCTACATTAATATTCCGTAATTGTAATAACTAGTTACCAAGATATATTATATTTACAACCCTACTTTAAGAAAAAGATAAAAAACCCCGAATGATAAACAAAGATACATACAATCTTAATAATCAGAAAACGAGGAATACACAAACAAAGAAAAAAATGAATATGAAGAAGAAAACGATGTATGCCAAAAAGGGTAAGAAGAAGAAGAACACTGAGGAGAAGAGTAAGTAGCACTAAGAATAAGAAGAAGAAGAAAAACAAAAATATTTAGAACGGAAGAAGATTAAAGAATANACAAACAAAGAAAAAAATGAATATGAAGAAGAAAACGATGTATGCCAAAAAGGGTAAGAAGAAGAAGAACACCGAGGAGAAGAGTAAGTAGCACTAAGAATAAGAAGAAGAAGAAAAACAAAAATATTTAGAACGGAAGAAGATTAAAGAATCTTATGAAGAAAAATAAGAAGATATTGAGAACATTTAAAGAAGAAGAATACGAGGGGTATAGAGAGAGAAAAAGAAGAAAAAAAAAAGAATATTGAGAAGAATATCAACAAAAAGAAGAATGGTGAGAAGAAGAAGAATACTGAGAAAAAGAAGAAAAAGGATACTGAGANCCCCACTTGCTCGGTCCGTTTTCGCCCCGAAACGATTTAATTTCGTATCAGTTTAAACTCAAAATATTTTATATAAAATTTATTTAAAATATTTTCCAAATTTCAATTTTTTTAAAAAAAAATATGTTTTGNAAGAAGAAAAAGGATACTGAGAAGAACAAGAAGAAAAATACTTAAACAAAGAAGAAAAAGAACACTGAGAAGAAGAATAAACAGAAAAAAAAATAAAAAAACATTGAGATAAAGAAGAAGAATATTGAAAATAAGAAGACAAGAAAAAGGANGAGAAAAAGAAGAAAAAGGATACTGAGAAGAACAAGAAGAAAAATACTTAAACAAAGAAGAAAAAGAACACTGAGAAGAAGAACAAACATAAAAAAAAATAAAAAAACATTGAGATAAAGAAGAAGAATATTGAAAATAAGAAGACAAGAAAAAGGAAAAAAAAGTGAGAAGAATACTCAAGAAAAAGAAGAATACTGAAGGAGAATGCCGAAAAAAAGAGCACATAAAAGAAGAAAAAGCATAGGAAAAGGAATAAAACCAAGAAGAAGATTACAAAGAACGAAAAAGGAAAGGAATAAAGCTAAAAATAATAGTAATAGAAAGAAGAAGAAGATGAGAAAAACACTGAGAAGAAAAATAAGAAAGAGAGTACTCATAAAAGAAGAAGAACAAGAATACTGACAAGAAAAAGAATATCGAGTAGAAGAGGTAGAAGATGAAGAACAAGAAAGAAGAATAAGACAAACAAGAAAGAAGAATAAGAATAACAAGAATAGTGAGAAGAAGATGAAAGAATATTATTAGGAAGAAAAAGAAGAATACTGAGAAAAAAAAATGAAGAAAACCACTAAGAAGAAGAAGACCACTCAGAAGAAGAATATAGACAAGAAGATAATGAAGAAGATTAGTGAGATGAAGAACAACACCATGAGAAAAACTACTGAAAAAAGGAGACGACAACGAAGAAAAAGAAAAATATTGAGAAGGAGGAAAACAAGAAAAAGATGGTTAATAAGAAGAGAAAAAAGAATATTGAGAAGAAGAATAAGAATATAGAAGATAAAAAAAATTCTAAGATAAATATTGAGGGGGAGAAGGATGCTGATGAACACTTAGAAGAGTAAAAAAGAAATGCTATTAAGAAAGAAAAAAAATGCTACTGAGAAGAAGAGGAAAAAATATTTATAGAAGGGAAGATG